TTGGGGCTTCAGGTTTGGGGATTGAGGGTTTAGATTTCGGCTTAAGGAAGAACTTGCCACAATGCAACCAAACAACATTCCATAGTCCCGAAGCTTGCAAGTTTAGGTTCCAAGTTTGAAACCGCAAGGGCCAAGGCCTCCCCAAAAAAAGGGAGGATGCATTCACATATACACCCCTTAATACCGATATTCCCGAAACCTCTCTTGTTCCCAATCTAGTGCATGCATGGCCTCGGGTGGAGTTGCTCCCCCTTGGCCATCGGGTGGAGGTGCTCCCCCTCGCAACATCCGCCTTGATCCTAAACCCTGGCCAAAGCTTGCACAAACTCCAAATCAAAAGCCTGCAAACAAAAACTGGGTTCCACGCCTGAACTGTTCAAACCCATAACAAAGAATCCTGCATAATGCTGTCAAAAGCACCGAAAGCCAAACCGTGTTTGCAGAGGCTGAAGCCCCGAAAGCCAAGCAGTGTTTGCAGAAGCTGAAGCCCCGAAAGCCAAGCAGTGTTTGCAGAAACTGAAGCACCGAAAGCCAAGCTGTGTTTGCAGTCGCAGTGGCAGTTGTAGAATCTCGAGGAACGCTGGTTGTGCTTGGGACTGATTGCTTGAAGGCTTGCACCTGTTGGTCGGTTGTGTGCTTGGCTCGCAGTGGCAGTTGTAGAATCTGGAGGAACGCTGGTTGTGCTTGGGACTGATTGCTTGAAGGCTTGCACCTGTTGGTCGGTTGTGTGCTTGGCTCTGAAGGCTGGCACCTGTTGGTCGGTTGTGTGCCTGGCTTGATGCATGTGTTGGATGGTGGTTGTGTGCCTGGCTTGATGCATGTGTTGGATGGTGGTTGTGTCCCTGGCTTGATGCATGTGCTGGAGTGTTGGTCGGTCGGTTGGTTGGTTGCTACTGATTGCTTGAAGTGCCGCCCACCGTGAGTTGTAATGGCTGTTGGCGCCTCGCCACGCCGTACGTGTATATGTTTGATTGTGACAGCTAGTCAACAAAGACTCCTGCATAATATGCTTTCTACTAGTACTAGTACTACGAAAACCTACGCAGTGTAACAACCATAACCGGACCATAACCACTATACGTACCGTCCTGGAGGCCAGGACTGCATAACCGCTATATTTACCGTCCTGGATGCCAGGACTGCAAAGATCTACTTGCAAAACTGATAAACTATTTATGTGCTGTGTATGCAGAAGCTGAAGCCCCGAAAGCCAAGCAGTGTTTGCAGAAGCTGAAGCACCGAAAGCCCAAGCAGTGTTTGCAGAAGCAGAAGCCCCGAAAGCCCAAGCAGTGTTTGCAGAAGCTGAAGCCCCGAAAGCCCAAGCAGTGTTTGCAGAAGCTGAAGCACCGAAAGCCCAAGCAGTGTTTGCAGAAGCTGTAGTAGTAGTAGTAGTAGTATTAGTAGTAGTAGTAGTAGTAATAGTAGTAGTAGTAGTAAGTGAAGGTTTGGCTGCTTTGCGCCACCCGTCCGGAGGCAGAGAACGGCCTTTGGCACCTCGCCACGCCACACAAATTCATTAACACCATGTTCGTACGGCCGTTGGCACCTCGCCACGCCACACAAATTCATTAACACCATGTTCGTACGGCCGTTGGCACCTCGCCACGCCACACAAATTCATTAACACCATGTTCGTACAGCCGTTGGCACCTCGCCACGCCACACAAATTCATTAACACCATGTTCGTACGGCCGTTGGCACCTTCACTAACCGCTGGGATCCCGAACCTTTGGATATATAACCGCTAGGATGTGAATTAACCGCTGGGATTAACCGCTGGGACAATTAACCGCTGGGATTAACCGCTGGGACAATTAACCGCTGGGATTAACCGCTGGGACTAACCGCTGGGACGATTAACCGCTGGAATTAACCGCTGGGATTAACCGCTGGGACAATTAACCGCTGGGATCATCAAATAACCGCTGGGATGTTGAAATAACCGCTGGGATGTTGAATTAACCGCTGGGATATCAAATAACCGCTGGGATGTTCGATTAACCGCTGGGAGCCCGGGATGGCCTACATCGGTTTGTGTTTAGGTCACGTCGGTTATTAACCGATGGGGGGCTGTCCAGGCATGCAGTCAAGTTATTCGGGCAATATTGCAATCCAGTTCAAAGTGTGCTCATGCGTTGGTTCACACAATGCATGTACATATCCTGTAAAATCGCAGGAGATGCTCAACCTCGCTGCCAAAGCAAGAATCCGTCGAATGGTTAAGCCCCACCGGAAAAGAACTGACCTCGAGGCACCAGAGGCTCTCAAAAAATATTGGGAAGCCGGGACGAAGGAGAAGGAAGAGCTGGCTGAACTTTTGAAGAAGTGCAACTTCAACCGAGAATCTTGTCATGCAGGATTTTAGAAACCCTCTATGACTCTATGATTCATGTCGTAGTGTAACGGACATTCAGCACCAAACACAATCTGCTAATAACTATATAAGGACATCTTCATCAGCACCGTCGAAAAGGTTGTCAGCAAAAGGGAGAAGATTACCTTGAAGCTGGACCAGGGTTGGTATTCCGAAGCTGAACTTCGGGACGAGCTGCACTGGCCGGCGTCACTGTTCTTAATTTTCGATGCATGTGCCCATGTCTCTGCGTGTGTGTGCGATGTCTGGTTTCTGATGCTGGAACACCTGCCTGGGACGGCTATACACATCGATCTGCATAAGGTCCAGGATTGAGGGCGTGAAGCGCTATTGCATGGCCCACAAGGACACTCACGTGAGGCTACTTTGCTTGCAATTGTGGAGGTCTGGCTGCATAACTTCAAATTTATGTGCATCTAAGGGCCAATGTCTACGATGGAGAACTTGAATACTGGGTTACCGTGAGGGAACGAGGTGAACGCAAGGAGACATTGACACGTGAAGAACGGCAGAGCCAGAAGGAGCAGGCGTGGTGACGTGGTGAGTGCGTGAGAGAGAGAGAGGAGAGATACAAATATAGAGAGAGAGAGAGAGAGAGAGAGAGAGAGAGGGAGAGAGAGAGAGAGTGGGTGAGTAAGTGAGTGCGGTTGTGTGTGTGTGTGTGTGTGAGTGGGGGGGGGGTGCGCGTGAGGGAGTGTGAGTGCCTCTGTCGTTGTGTGTGTGTGTGCCTGTGGGGGTGGGTGCGGGTGTGGGTGTGGTGTGCTGGGTGTGGGTATGGGCGGTATATGGATGTGGGGCTTGTGTCCAAGCGTCTGGGCTCCTCACTCGATGTGTTTCCTCTGACCAGGGTGGGCCCGTGGATCTTCCTGGCAGCAGCTTTGCTGGGGTCGGCTCATTGGAGCGACGTCTCAATCAAGACCACTCCCATGCACATAAGCAGAAGGAGATTGGACAGTATCAGCAGGCCTGCAGTTGTGTTGTCAAGCAATGTCATTACAGATATATACCTTCCTAAAGCAATTTGGCAAACTCTGTTTTCAGGAGCTGGAGACCATGAAGAAGTTCTGCGACTCGCTGAATGGCAAATCTTGCAAAATTCGAGGCCTCGTTAAGGACTTGGAGACCCACTACAGCGGATCAAGCCAAGCCAAGAAGTCGCTTCCCTATATAGAGAAAAACCATTTAGTTGCAATGTGTACAAATGTCACAAGCAACCTTATAGGAGTCCTTTTCCAGGAAAGTATTCAGGGCCCTTATATATTCATATAGAGACTATAGAGTTATATAAGGGTTATATGGATATATCTGGGTACTCTATATCGGGTTTCTAGGCTCGTTATGTTTGGTTAAGGGCTAGATAGAAAGGAACTATCTTGTCGATCTATATTAGTGACCCTGAGCAGATATGCCCGACAAGCCCCAAACCGGTGTAAAAGCTCCGTCTGATGTGTTGCAGGAATGCCAAGAAATTCTTCGAGAAAACCAAGAAGGCCCCGCCTGCGAAAAGCAAGGCTCCCCAGCAAGCCGCGCCGAAAGCTGCGCCTAAGTCTACTGTAAAACCTGCGCCGAAGGCGCATCGCAGAAAGGCCTAAAGGTTTCACTTCGTGCTCTCCGCAGGGCAAGCTTTTGGGGTGTGTTAAGAGCCGGGAATCCTCCACACAAAGGAGATAGAACCTGTGCTCGTTGTGTCGGGTGATGCAAGCTGGGAAACGGTGGTTCAGCTCGATCCCTCATATTTGCCCTGTCGGGTCTCTCAGGTTGAGTTTTGATGTGTATGGAGGCTATTATGAGATTGTTAGGGTCAACCAGCATAAGAGCTCGCTCCGGTTTATATTGGGATTCCAGGGTTTGTTTGATGACTCTATAGGTCTATAGGTTAAGCTGTGAAGTATACATTATACCCCCTAGCCCCTTTACGCCCGAAAAAAGCCAAAAGCAAGCTAAGTAGAAACCACAGGAACCCTGAACAACCCTGTAGCAAAGGTAACCTTATATAGGTCGAAGCCAATAGAAACCCAAAACCCAGGGATCGAGGACTTAAGCCTTCGAAGTTTCAGCTGGCAGCTGGAACCGCTATGGACCATGCTTGTGTTTTGCAACTCTTTAATGATCGAGCGTGTGGCGATGTGCCACATGCTGCAAAAAGTTCCTGTGTGTCCGAAGGGGAAAAGAAACCTGACAGATTGCTTCGCAAGTGCGTCTTTACAAATGTCTGCACTGAAGATCAGCGATGATAGTGAAACTTCAAGCCCAAATTGCCATATACCCCAACCCATGCCAGGCAACCAGCCTGGCAAAGCCGTCCGCGGGTTTGCTGCAGATCTGGGAGCCGGGGTTCCCGCCTGAGAAGCCGCGTCAATGAGGCTTGCCCAAAGTGCCGTGATCCTGTTGTTTGCTTGGGACATCCATTCGAACCTTTGGCTCAAGGGAACTTTTGTGGCTCTAGGGGTGGCTGCATCATGGTTTTCACTGAACGAGATGCCGAAGAAGAGCTGCAAGAGCTGCTAACGTGTCACAGACCCGAAGCTATTCCTGCAAACCAGTTTTTGCGACTCTAGGCAATCAAGTTCATGTCGTTCGGAAGTCGCTCACACCAAGGATTCCAATGGTCCCCATGCATCGAAGATGACAGTAGAGACTGTGTTTGGACAACAGCAACCGGAACCCGAGCCGAATGTCCCCGATGCTAAATGTCAGGCACAGGACTACGTGGAACCGCACAAGGACCGGGCATCACGTGGCCTAGCTGAGGTGTATGCTCGGTGTCGAGCCTTCGATTGCATCCGCTTCGAGCTCCCAGCACGAAGCCACCTGACAGGCTTTGTGCTGCTCCATGCATCATCTACCATTGAACGGTTGTTCGATGACCATGCGCCTATGGTGTTCAAGATTGGCTTCACACACAATCCTGCTTTTCGGTGGGCAAATTCCCGTTATGGGTACGCTCACGACCCTTATGATCGATGGGATGCTATGGTGATTTTGTACCTGGCCTCCAACCCACACGGGCCAGCGATGTTGGAGTCCGCCCTTATCGACAAATATGGACGTGCCTTGTCCCAGTCCCTGTTAACATGAAGTGTAGATGCGACTGCGGAACCTCTATAAATACCAAACTTCGTTTCGTCTGTCGTGATCTAAGGTAGGCCTGGTTGTCGAAACATCAACCGTGGCGGCGATGGCGTCAAGGACACCTCAGCTGACTCAGCTAGCCAGTACATGACTTACATCGTGTACAGGTCGTTCAAGCATCCTCCTAAAGAGGCTGGCTCTTTCAAGCGCTCTCCAAAGTGATGCAGCATCAGCAGTGAACTGTATATACGTCGTTCGCAAGATACCATGCAGGGGTGTGCTAGCAAAAACAGAAGGCACCGATTCCGTTTGCAAGTGCAGTGTGGCAGCAGCGATCATACATGCATGAGCATTGCCGAGCAATCAGAAGCATCACCCGCTTGTATTCACAGTTTTATATTCTCTCTGTGCCCAGGTTCCGGCCAAGGCCGTGGTGCGGACGGCCCGCAATGTTCTTTCGGACATAGGCCCTCAGGCTGCTGCATCGTCCAAAGGATTGAAGCGTTTGGCAGAGTGCAGTCTTTCGAATGCCGAGCGTGATGCCCAAACACTGTTATCGAAAAAGATGAAACTCTCCCTGCCCATTCCGTTGGAAACCTTGGGTCAGGGCAAGCTGAACTTTCCAGTGTTGGGTCTTCGCAGCTGGGCACAGTTCCTCCTGGACAGAAATCTTTGGCACATTTTGTGTGGACTTCTATCTCCGGACACAGACAGAGAAAAGGCCATTCTTCGTGGCTTCTGGGCTGAGTTCCAGCGCCACTCCCCGCAGCACCCAGTGTTTGAGCTAGGTTTGCCTTTGGAGGACACCGTTCCGATGGTATTTCATGGTGATGAAGGCCGGGGACGGAGAAGACAAGGATGGCTAGCCACCAACTACCACTCCATTATTGGGCGTGGCATCCAAGCAGCTCTGGATAAAGATGCTCGGGAGAAGAAGCGTGGTCGATATGTCAAATTGAGATGCAACTATATTGGCCATTCACTGACGAATCGTTTTGGCCACGCCGGCTTACCCAAGGCAGTATACTCTGACCCAGAAATCTTCAAGGCTGTTCTCGAAGACGCTGCTTCAGAAGCATTGTTCATGACCGAGCACGGCGTTTTCAATCCACGTATGGGAACACGCTACATGATCATCCTGAATGTTGTTGGCGATTGGAGCTGGCTTCACAAAGCTGGAGGCCTTTCCAGGACTTACCACAACATGGAAAAAGCTGGTGCAAAGGCGAAAGCAAAACCGAAGGCAGCAGCGAAGGCGAAGAAAAGCAAACCACCCAAAGAACCCGTGGGCATCTGTCACTTGTGCCGTGCAGGCCAGAAGGATGTTCCGTTTGAGGATATCTATAGCCGGCAGCCGCTTTGGTTGAGGACAATGTTTCAGCAGCAGCCCTGGATTGCCCCCCCAAGCTTTGCGCGATTGCACCACCCTGTGGGCGAGGAGGCCTCGATCTTCGCGTTCGATATTTTTCACGCCTTTCATTTGGGCGTGGGTAAGACTCACGTTTCTTCATGCCTCGCAATGTTGTCTGATGTAACAGCCGGTTCGAATATTGACCTTCGCTTCGAGGCCCTGAACGCTGAATGGAAATCGTTCAAAACAGGTTTGTTTCAGCCGAAACTGACACCGGAGTTCATAGGCTGGGAGTCTCGTTCTGATTTCCCTTCTGGAAGCTGGCACAAGGGGCAGCTGACAACAGACTTGATGCGCTTTCTGGAACACAAGTTCGAACAAACAGATCTTTCAGGTGACATCATGCTGCAGAAGGCCGCCGAAGGCACATGTGCCATTAATCAATGCCTTAGACTCCTCTACGAAAACGACTCGGTGTTTTTACAACCAGATCTGGCAAGAAGCATCGCTGAGCATGGGCTGCAATTCTTGCGGAGGTATTCGTTTCTTGCAAAACGTGCGCACGATACAGAAAAATCCTTGTGGGGGTTGATCCCCAAGGTGCATGCAGTGCATCATGTCTTAGTCAAACTGTTGCAGGACGCTGAGGATGGGAGACCGAGTTTGCATCCTCTATGTTTTGGCGTCCAGCAGGACGAGGATTATGTCGGGCGTCCGTCCCGCTTATCACGACGAGTGTCGTCTCGATTGGTGTCTACCCGGGTTCTTCAACGATATCTTCAGGATGCCTACGCCAAGTATGTTTCCAGCAATCTGATCGTTCCCAGCTGAGTGCGCGGCAAAACATCGCCAGAAGCAGCCGCCACATCTTTGGGATCGAGGGTTTTATCAGGATTACTTCCAAGATTGGGTTTACCTCACAAGCTAGTTCCCAGGAAATCCTGAGATCCCAGAATCCCCAACCCCTATACGAAATAGCAGTGTATGTCCAAAACAGCTTATGTGAGGCTCCACACCCGTTGAACAGCGAGCACTACAAACCTTCACAACCCAAATCTCCCTTGCTACAAACCAACATGCCCTAAAGTCCCAAAGCCCGACTCTCAAAGAACAACCTGATCCGAAGTTATCATTGGATTGAACTACAGTCGCATGAAACTCGGTTCTCCATTCAACAACCCGGTTATTTTTCAGAGCCGACAATTTCTGCGGGTTCAGTTGCTGTTGGTAGGGTTAAGGGCTTACGAGGGCTTAGGGTTTAGGGTTGTGCTCTAAGGTTTAGGGTTAGGGTTTGGGAGTAAGGTTTAGGGTTTAAGGTTCTGGTTTAGGGTTTAGGGTTTGGGTGTAGGGTTTAGGGTTTAGGGTTGTGGTTTAGGGTTAAGGACTTGGTTGTAAGGTTTAGGGGTTTAGGGTTAAGGGTTTAGGATAGGGCTTAGGGTTCAGGAGTTACGCTTGGCCGAGACTCCGCCGAGACCCGGCCGAGACCCTTTTTCGGGGTTCGCCAGGGTTTAGGGATTAGGGTTAACGGCTTAGGAGGGTTTAAGGTTTTAGAGTTGAAGCTTTACGGTTTAGGGTTTAGGGTTTGGGTGTAAGGTTTAGGGTTTAGGGTTGTGGTTTAGGGTTTGGGCTTTGGGTCTAAGGTTTAGGGTTTAGGGTTCTGGTTTAGGGTTAAGGACTTGGTTGTAAGGTTTAGGGGTTTAGGGTTAAGGGTTTAGGACATAGGGCTTAGGGTTCAGGATTTACGCTTGGCCGAGACTCCGCCGAGACCCGGCCGAGACCCGGATTTAGGGTTCGCCAGGGTTTAGGGATTAGGGTTAAGGGCTTACGAGGGTTTAGGGTTTAGGGTTTTGGGTTGTGTTCTAGGGTTTAGGGTTAGTTTAGGGTTTAAGGTTCTGGTTTAAGGTTTAGGGTTTAGGGTTTGGGTGTAGGGTTTAGGGTTGTGGTTTAGTGTTAAGGACTTGGTTGTAAGGTTTAGGGGTTTAGGGTTAAGGGTTTAGGACATAGGGCTTAGGGTTCAGGATTTACGCTTGGCCGAGACTCCGCCGGCCGAGACCCTTTTTCGGGGTTCGCCAGGGTTTAGGGATTAGGGTTAACGGCTTAGGAGGGTTTAAGGTTTTAGAGTTGAAGCTTTACGGTTTAGTGTTTAGGGTTTGGGTGTAAGGTTTAGGGTTTAGGATTGTGGTTTAGGGTTTGGGCTTTGGGTCTAAGGTTTAGGGTTTAGGGTTCTGGTTTAGGGTTAAGGACTTGGTTGTAAGGTTTAGGGGTTTAGGGTTAAGGGTTTAGGACATAGGGCTTAGGGTTCAGGATTTACGCTTGGCCGAGACTCCGCCGAGACCCGGCCGAGACCCTTTTTCGGGGTTCGCCAGGGTTTAGGGATTAGGGTTAACGGCTTAGGAGGGTTTAAGGTTTTAGAGTTGAAGCTTTACGGTTTAGGGTTTAGGGTTTGGGTGTAAGGTTTAGGGTTTAGGGTTGTGGTTTAGGGTTTAGGCTTTGGGTGTAAGGTTTAGGGTTTGGGCTTTGGGTGTAAGGTTTAGTGGTTTAGGGTTAAGGGTTTAGGACATAGGGCTTAGGGTTCAGGATTTACGCTTGGCCGAGACTCGGCCGTTACCCGGCCGAGACCCGGATTTAGGGTTCGCCAGGGTTCAGGGACTAGGGTTAAGGGCTTACGAGGGTTTAGGGTTTAGGGTTTTGGGTCGTGCTCTAGGGTTTAGGGTTAGGGTTTGGGAGTAAGGTTTTGGGTTTAAGGTTCTGGTTTAGGGTTTAGGGTTTGGGTGTAGGGTTTAGGGTTGTGGTTTAGGGTTTACGACTTGGTTGTGACGTTTCGGGGTTTAGGGTTAAGGGTTTAAGACATAGGGCTTAGGGTTCAGGATTTACGCTTGGCCGAGACTCCGCCGAGACCCGGCCGAGACCCTTTTTCGGGGTTCGCCAGGGTTTAGGGATTAGGGTTAACGGCTTAGGAGGGTTTAAGGTTTTAGAGTTGAAGCTTTACGGTTTAGGGTTTAGGGTTTGGGTGTAAGGTTTAGGGTTTAGGGTTGTGGTTTAGGGTTTGGGCTTTGGGTCTAAGGTTTAGGGTTTAGGGTTCTGGTTTAGGGTTAAGGACTTGGTTGTAAGGTTTAGGGGTTTAGGGTTAAGGGTTTAGGACATAGGGCTTAGGGTTCAGGATTTACGCTTGGCCGAGACTCCGCCGAGACCCGGCCGAGACCCTTTTTCGGGGTTCGCCAGGGTTTAGGGATTAGGGTTAACGGCTTAGGAGGATTTAACGTTTTAGAGTTGAAGCTTTGCGGTTTAGGGTTTAGGGTTTGGGTGTAAGGTTTAGGGTTTAGGGTTGTGGTTTAGGGTTTAGGCTTTGGGTGTAAGGTTTAGGGTTTAGGCTTTGGGTGTAAGGTTTAGTGGTTTAGGGTTAAGGACTTGGTTGTAAGGTTTAGGGGTTTAGGGTTAAGGGTTTAGGACATAGGGCTTAGGGTTCAGGATTTACGCTTGGCCGAGACTCGGCCGTTACCCGGCCGAGACCCGGATTTAGGGTTCGCCAGGGTTTAGGGATTAGGGTTAAGGGCTTACGAGGGTTTAGGGTTTAGGGTTTTGGGTTGTGCTCTAGGGTTTAGGGTTAGGGTTTGGGAGTAAGGTTTAGGGTTTAAGGTTCTAGGGTTTAGGGTTTGGGTGTAGGGTTTAGGGTTTAGGGTTGTGGTTTAGGGTTAAGGACTTGGTTGTAACGTTTAGGGGTTTAGGGTTAAGGGTTTAGGATAGGGCTTAGGGTTCACGATTTACGCTTGGCCGAGACTCCGCCGAGACCCGGCCGAGACCCTTTTTCGGGGTTCGCCACGGTTTAGGGATTAGGGTTAACGGCTTAGGAGGGTTTAAGGTTTTAGAGTTGAAGCTTTACGGTTTAGGGTTTAGGGTTGTGGTTTAGGGTTTGGGCTTTGGGTCTAAGGTTTAGGGTTTAGGGTTCTGGTTTAGGGTTTAGGGTTTGGGTGTAGGGTTTAGGGGTTTAGGGTTAAGGGTTTAGGACATAGGGCTTCGGGTTCAGGATTTACGCTTGGCCGAGACTCCGCCGAGACCCGGCCGAGACCCTTTTTCGGGGTTCGCCAGGGTTTAGGGATTAGGGTTAACGGCTTAGGAGGGTTTAAGGTTTTAGAGTTGAAGCTTTACGGTTTAGGGTTTAGGGTTTAGGCTTTGGGTGTAAGGTTTGGTTTAGGCTTTGGGTGTAAGGTTTAGTGGTTTAGGGTTAAGGACTTGGTTGTAAGGTTTAGGGGTTTAGGGTTAAGGGTTTAGGACATAGGGCTTAGGGTTCAGGATTTACGCTTGGCCGGGACTCGGCCGTTACCCGGCCGAGACCCGGATTTAGGGTTCGCCAGGGTCTAGGGATTAGGGTTAAGGGCTTACGAGGGTTTAGGGTTTTGGGTTGTGCTCTAGGGTTTAGGGTTAGGGTTTGGAGTAAGGTTTAGGGCTTAAGGTTCTGGTTTAGGGTTTAGGGTTTAGGGTTTGGGTGTAGGGTTTAGGGTTTAGGGTTGTGGTTTAGGGTTAAGGACTTGGTTGTAACGTTTAGGGGTTTAGGGTTAAGGGTTTAGGATAGGGCTTAGGGTTCAGGATTTACGCTTGGCCGAGACTCCGCCGGCCGAGACCCTTTTTCGGGGTTCGCCAGGGTTTAGGGATTAGGGTTAACGGCTTAGGAGGGTTTAAGGTTTTAGAGTTGAAGCTTTACGGTTTAGCGTTTAGGGTTGTGGTTTAGGGTTTGGGCTTTGGGTCTAAGGTTTAGGGTTTAGGGTTCTGGTTTAGGGTTAAGGACTTGGTTGTAAGGTTTAGGGTTAAGGGTTTAGGACATAGGGCTTAGGGTTCAGGATTTACGCTTGGCCGAGACTCCGCCCAGACCCGGCCGAGACCCGGATTTAGGGTTCGCCAGGGTTTAGGGATTAGGGTTAAGGGCTTACGGGGGTTTAGGGTTTAGGGTTTTGGGTTGTGTTCTAGGGTTTAGGGTTAGGGTTTGGGAGTAAGGTTTAGGGTTTAAGGTTCTGGTTTAAGGTTTAGGGTTTAGGGTTTGGGTGTAGGGTTTAGGGTTTAGGGAGGAATGTCATCGTGGCCGTGGTCATGGTTGTCGTCTCGTCGTCGTCGTGGCCCCAGGGTTTCAGGGGGTTTAGGGGGTTGTGGAGTTTAGGGTAGTAGGAATAGGGATTAGGATTTAGAATTTGGAGTTAGCCGAGACTCGGCCGAGACGTGGCCGAGACAAGGATTTAGGGTTTAGGGGGTTTCGGTGTTTCGAGGATTTCGGTGGTTTAGGACGTTCAGGGGTATAGTTAGTTTAAGGGGCATATGCAATGCGTGAGCGGGTTTATAATTTGGCCTAGGCCTGAAATGATGTCCTCTGTCGTGGCCGCCTCACACTGGCCGTGACATGGCCGAGACAATGCAATGTGTGAGCGGGTTTCTAATTTGGCCTAGGCCTGAACAGATGTCCTGTGTCGTAGACGGCTCACCATGGCCGTGACATGGCCGAGACATTGGAATGTGTAAGCCGAGACGTCAACTGAGACATACCGTGACATGGCCGAGACAATGCAATGTGTGAGCGGGTTTCTAATTTGGCCTAGGCCTGAACAGATGTCCTGTGTCGTAGACGCCTCACCATGGCCGTGACATGGCCGAGACATTGGAATGTGTAAGCCGAGACGTCAACTGAGACATAAATAAAAAAAGACATTTTGACACAAAAAAAACAAAAAGGATACGCGACCCCGAAGCTGCCCAGCGCAGCCCGAAACTGCCCGAAGCCAACGCGCGCAGCCTGTGCGCACCTCCATGGAAATCCTGTGCCGCACGTGCAGGATACTCTCTTTCGGAGTTTTTCAAGCAACAGCTTCCGCGTTGCGTGCTTTTGAACGGACTTGAGTTACTGCGCATCCCACCCCACAGATTCAAAACAGGAAGGTTTTTCTTGAAAGCTCTTGGCCGCCAGGCACTACGGCGCGCTTTTTTGATTTTATCATGCCAAAGTCTATATACTCTGAAGTAGGGAACATCTGCTCAGCCGAAAGGAAGGCCGGCAGAATGAGTCAGGGAGTCCTGACAGCGATCTGTTAAGCTCTAGACCGCAACACCACAGCCTCCAGTTTAAACTGTAAACCTTGTTGCATGAAGCCTAGGTTGTCGGAGAACTTTAAACCCCAAACCCTGAACGATTGAACTCTTAACTCAGCCTTCACAAAACCTTGTGCCCAAACCCAAACCATAGCCCGAAGCGCAAGCCCCAACACTGAGTTCAAAAACCCAGCTGCTGAATAGGAAGCCCACAAATGTCTGGGCCAGCCGAAATCTACCGATGCCGACGGCTGTGGTCAGAACCGCAATAAACGCCAGTAAACCACAGCAGGCAGATTTGGAGGCTGATTCAGGAAGTTCACAACAGTTCGATGATTCGAGCAGCTGATAAAGCTACAGATTTATGTTGGTTGGGAGATATCATGTCATCATCCTGAGACTCGATTTTCGAATCATCAGCAGGAACGTTTGAAAGCAGGTTATCCAGTCACCAACCCTAGCAAGTAGCCTCATTTCACGGGGTCAACCCGAGCACGTCGGAATCCCCTGTGCCGGAGCTGGCCGCGGTCATTGCGGTATTACTACCATGAATCGCCAAGGCCTGGCCAGAGCCGCTGAAGCAGCACCTTCCTTCATTGCATCCAGGAGCACGCGATCAACTGGTGTTCCACGAGAAGCTTGTTTCGCTGTGAGCTCATACATTAGGATGGTCTCCAGCTGCCTGGCCCGCTCAGTGTCCTCACTCTGGTTCGCAAGCGTCATCGACTCGTTCAAGCATCCTGCAAGCATCGACGGGAAGTCCTTCAACTCATCATGGATCTCCATGCGGTCATCGATGACTGACTAGGCCGCCGACTGCTGCGCGCGTTTTTGCAGCAAGCCGCTGCTCTGCGGGGGCTTCACTTCGCAGGAATCGTGGTTGCCACTGCCCCAAACACCGGAAGCTTTCGAGGCGCACTTGTCTGCCATGGCCAGGGTGATTCCCCATGCGGCCCATGCACAGCCGACTTTCCACACGTGGAGAGCCATCGGAAATCTTGCACGAGGTGTGCGTGCTCCGTGCTAGCAGTAACTTCTAGAAGGTGATCCAAGAGCCCAAAGCGCTCAATGAAGCGATGCATGCGACGAGCGACGCAAGTTGACCTTGGAAGCGCTATCAGCAGCTCTGATTCGCTACAGGCCACGAGATTCTTGCCGTCAAGTCGCTCTCAGCCAAGAAACAGGAATCCCCAGTTGTTCCTGTATCCTGCCAGGGTGCATCTTTGGGCTTCTGCAGACCTCTGTTTTTCCTGCCATGGGTGAATACTTCTCTAAGCCCTCAAGACATACTTCTTTGCATTGCTTAGCGGCTTAGCACGTCGGCGGAGTCCGTGACCTTGGAAATGTCCCCGGACCAGTTTTGCATCGTCTCGTGCTCACCTGCCATGTAGCCCGGCCGATACTGCAGACGGACACTGCCGGGAGGCAGACACGCGACCTCCTTCAGATCCTCAAGGTGTGAGGTAGCCCGGCGGCAACCGGACCTGCAGGGACGCTTCAGCTGCGTATCCGCAACTCTCAAGTGGGCGAAGCAAGGCCGAACCTCTGTCGTTTGCTTGTCGCGACAGGCTATCGCAGGTAGATGCAGGTAGGATACAGGGCCAGCCGATCCTTGCACCACTGCATTACCTGGCGGCGCAACAAATGGATGACTTCCACAGCAGGTGCAATAGGACGAATCAGGGACAGCAACCTGCGCAGCTTGGCTTTGGCTCTGGAGATTCCTGTTAGTCGCGAACTCGTGGTTGCTTCGCTCATCTCCAAACGCTGCAGACCACGAGCCTCATCGAAAGCAAGCAAGCACTATCTGGCAACGAGAATCCCCTCAAAGCTGTCATATTGTACGCACAGGCACCATCATGAGTCCCCGAATGTAATGAAGCAATCTCGAAACGCTCTGACTCCAACAGGCAGGCCGGATTTCGCCCCGCAAGTATTGCAGCAAGCGACTGCAGCTGCTTCTGCTCTTTCCAGCGGGCTGCGCTCCGGAGCCGGGGGAGTCCTGCGCTTTCTTTCCAGCACCACGAAGGTGCATGACTTTGAGGGCGCTTGCTGGGGGGTAGTACAACTCTTGCAAGGCAGGTGAAGCAGGTCCGGCCTCTTACTGAAGGATTTGTTTTGCAGCTGGAAGTGGCTGGAAGCCAGAGGGATGTGGATCTTGACTGTGGTTTCTCATTTCTGTTCAAGGGTGCAGGTGTGCTTCAGGGTTGAAGGAAGGCTTCGCCGCGAGAGGGTGCTGCATGAATCCGAAACCAGTGCTCGACGGCACTTGTCTTGTTGGAACAAGCGCTCTCCCAACGTCAAGCAAGGGAAGGCCGGAACTGCCGAAGCCTCACGGCCACACGTCGTGACTTGTTGGTGGTGGAGGGGGGGAAGCCGCTAGGCCGCTTCGGGGTGCCGGTTCTGTAAGGCTCTCTGCGTGAAGCGAGCATTTTCCTGTGGTGGATTCAAGGAATGACAAATGGCAAAAAGAACAAACATGAGCACCGGACGTCCATCGGAAGAGCTACAGTCGACGCACAGCGCTGTACAGCAGGGTTAGCTTCAGTATCAACCTGCACTATGCAAACCGGATCGGAGCATTGAGCAGGCATGTGCTTGCCACCTTTATGGAAGACGGTCTCTTCGTAATATGCTGCTACCATTGCTGCTACATGTTAACCACTGGACGGGTCGGCGCATGATGCTGACAACCGTTCACTTGATGCAGCAGGCTGCAACAGGCTTTGATTGCCTCGTGGCCCCTGTCCGCTGCTCCGAAGTCGTGTCTCACGAATATTTTTCCAGCTGCCACGGCAAGGTCGATCGATAAAGGGTATCGAAGAATGTATGCTTAACATGGGCGAGACATGGTCTGGAACTAGAAGATGTGAGATCGCACGATGTAGTGCCAGTCCTTGCTGCTGCCCTTTGGTAGCGTTTCGCAGCGGCGACCTCTGCCTGACTCAATTCTTTTCACAGCTTTGGTCAAGGCAGCTTTGCATGACAGCCTCTTACTACATGCTCCCGGGCTCCCTCTTGTCGAAATTAAGGCTCCGCCGGGCAACCTCGAAAAAACAACATAACACCAGTTACGATCTCAATAACGAGAACAACAGCTAGCTAGATATCATTGGTGTACCGAACTCTTAACAGTCTTCACAACTGAGCTCCTGGTACATCCAGCGGCATGACAACAGAGAAACAGCAAAACTAGCCAACGTCGCAACCACAGACAAGTTCGAGAAGAACAGCGCGAAAGAACCTAGTCCGTCAAAAGCTGTCTGGTGCTTGTAGAAACCGACTCGTCATTGGAATGATTGTCGCCAGCATATAGTGGAGACGTGATGTGCGATTGATCCACTGGTGGCGGCTGGGAGTTGGCCAAAGAGGCGACAACTTCACTCTGTCTGTAAATTCGACCTGTTGCACAACCCTGGCATAAGTGCACAATTGCATGATCATGTCCGAGCTCTCGCAGTCTGTAGACAGCGTAGCGCCTTGTACTCCGTACGCAGAAGGCGAGACTCCGCACTCGAGGATGATTGAACGTCCTGAGCGGGGCTAGCAGGCTCCAGATGCCGCAGGATCTTGAGGGTCGCTGTATGTTGGAGAGCTTTCACAATGCGACAATGGGACCCAGCCCGCAAAGAGACCCCTTCTAAAGCTCCATGATCTTGCTGGTCGATGATGACGAGTTGTATTACAACCGATGACAGTCGCGTGTGACAAACCTGTCCGATTGACGAGCGACGGTACTAGAACCGGTGAGATGCAGCCGGCTTTTCATCGTTCTAGATTATGGCGACCAACCTCTCAAGTCCGCACGCCATGAACCATGCGGGACGTGGACAGGCACAAGCATTAGCGGCATCAGTAATTTAGTCAAGTTTGGGCTGACAGCGGGTCAGGACTTGCCGCTCCTCATACCTTCATTACTAACCGCTACTAATAGCTACTACTATTCCAGTTTTGCAGAGGACTCTTTGTTGAAACCTTACTGGCAAGAGCCTAAACCAGCTGTGGCCTCGTGCAGGAATTGTGCAGGAATGGTAGAAAGACGGACTGACACAAGCAAGGGATGCGACGGATGACCAAAGAGACCCAGCATGCCACACAGGCGAACAACTCCAAAGGATGGCAAAGGTTTCTCACTACAGGTTGCTGCTTTGTCCTCGGATTCCCTGCCAATGGTTGTAAGTGTCCGTAGCTGCCGGCGTGCTGCAGTGTACTTCTGCTTGGCTGGTTTTTGTGAACAACCGCGTGCAGGGCAACTTGAAAACGTTGGTCCTTCTCCTGGAGCTGTCGGCGCTGCATCCCTCGCAGAGCATGCTCCGATTTGGAGAGTTCGCGTTGCAGCTTGACAACCTGCGCAGGCTGGGATCAATCCTACCAACATTCGACAGCAAATTCACGCAGGTGCCTTTTTGAGGTAGTAGTACAGAGTATCCATCACGAAAATTGATGTCAAGCCTTAACCCTGCAACCATGTCTACAATCGCAGGCTGCTGGGCTGCTGGGGATTGAACGAATCTCTGGTCTTTGAATCTAACTGAATAGTCTGTGTCAGCCCTGACATAGTGTCGCGCTGCAGGCCTCACCCACTCCGGGACCGGCTTTCCTAGCATGCTGCATGAAGGCTTGACTTCAGTTTGCCGTCAGGTATCTATCTGAACGAGTCACGACTGCGACGAAGGCGCAGGGTGATAACTGACAATATCCCAAAATCTCACAGGTGCCGTGCAGCATCTCAGGCAAAAAATGGAGGCAAACCATAGCAAGCAAGCTTCTGCAGTTCCGCAGCTCGCTTCCTCAGTTCGGTGGAGAACTCCTGCAAGCGATCCTTCTCCTGCGTGGCCTGCCCAGGGTCATGGCTAGTCGGCCCGCAGACAGCGACGACCACGTTGAGGGTGCGGCGCCGAGGTCACGACCGAGGGGCGGGCTTCGTTGCGCAAAGGGGTGGGCATACACTTTGACTTTGAGTACAATCAGCACCAATGACACCAATGCGGTTACCATGGACGTCACGAAGCAAGTTCTTCGACAACATCGGGCCGGGATTTCGACAATGAGATTGCTGAATCGTTGGCGAGTCCAAGCGCCGTGATGGTGGGCAGCCCATGCTGTGCAACTCCAAGCACACTAAAGGTCTGGGCTACGAAAGCTAGCTCAAGGTCGGAACAGAAAGGGAGCAGCGCGAGCTGGCCATTTTCGAGGGAGCAATGCAAAGGCTTTCGGGAATATCGCGGAGACAGTGTGCTCTTTGGAGTTCTTGACAGATATCACGCTGCTGGAGAAAACCTCTGCAGGGAAGGCGGTGGGGGGGGGGGGGGGTAGGCCCCCCCCTTCACCCTTCTGGTATATCTGTTTACTGCAACCCTTCGTGCGGGGTGGGAGGGCAGACCTAAAGATTTCTACCATCCATCTTACAAAGGGAGGGTGGCTTAGGCCCGGGTTTGCAACGACAACTCTCGCAAGCTCCAAAGAGTTAGCCTTCGTGACTGATCCTTGATCCTGCTGGCAGGCTGGGCTGATGCAGCTGTTGGTGCACTGACCATGCCGCATTGCCAAGTGTGCCAAACGATTTGGACATGGAGATGATGAACACTTCCAATTAGTCGGGGGAACAAGCCCCGTTGCACAGTTCAATGGATTGCAATGGCATCAATGAAACTTCTGTCGTAGTTGGATAAGACCCATAGTAGCTTCCTTGATAATTTGAAGGCCTGTTCGACACATAGTAGCTGCACAACTGTGCATTTTTGACGTCGGTCGTTCCACCTTGGACTCACAACTCGGACCACCTATGGTTCTGATATCGCACCGTGCAGCATCCGTCATGATGTGTCATTGGACATCATGAACGCAGCTGATGCCTGTTGAAGTGTCGGTGTTTCGCTTTCGCCCATAGCCAATGTCAGGCCGTGGGAAGCTCAAGTTTGGGAGCTACGGCTCGAAGGACCTCATGGCAGCTCGAAGCACTCGCTTTTTGTTGACCTTCGCGCTCTCGTGGAGCTAGATAGGCTCAGAGCCAGTCATTGTGGAGCCTTCCTCACTGCCTATCGTACCCACTCCGCATTATCACGCAGCAACAACAACGACGACGATGACGACGACAACGAGGACAACGACGATGATGATGACGACGACACATGCGACAACAACTGCAACTACAACTTATGCCGAAAAGCAAGTGCAAGTCGTCCTCATGACTCAACCTATCAACAGGCAAATTGGAACAGCGAACACATCTGGCCTCGTCCAATCTTGCATACAGCTCTGACACTGTCTGAGCAGCAGCTCCAGCAGCCTGATCATGGAATGATGGGTTTTTCATCCCGGACTCAAAAGTACGAGGTGCACCGCTCAAAGAAACAGATCTCAGATCTCTCTGTCTGCTGGGCGAGGGGCTAGGAATTCACTGCTAAACACTTTTGATTACTACGGCTTCGGGCATCCTTACAAGCTTGAGACCGAGTACTGTAGCCAAGACTTGGACCTGGATCGTGGTTTTTTGTGTTTCAGACATAGCGAGAAGCTAGGCCTGCTTTGACAGTTCAGCTTGGCGGCCTATCGTTACGAAAGCATCCTTTCCGTGACAAGCGGATTTGCACAGGGCCATGCTTTCGTGTGAAAGTTTGTGACCGCTACCGTTTCGATGCCTTACGACTTACGACTGAGACGGCCTTCTGCTCTTCGAGAAGCGCAGCCTTTGCTGCAGCGGCTTGCCTCTGCGCCTGGCGTGCAAGCGTACTCGGGAACAGTGTCCGTGTCTGTAGTGTGCATATTGCCTCCTGCAGCTCCCCACAAAGTTCGGCAACGGCAGGAACCTCGAGGCTTGCCGACTTTTTCCGTCCACGATTGTGCGCTCTGCCAGCCTCGAAATCAACTTGTCGGACATCCGCTGAATTCCTTACCAGTGAGCGCAAGAAACTACAACATTGATTTCATTCCGACCTGTGACATCACCTGTGTCAGTACTACAACTAGTGGCGGAGTGCAGGCAAATGCCAATCAGAGTCACCAGCCTGTTGAGACGAAGGGCCGGATAGTGCAACGCGCAAAGCTTCAAAATTGGCCGGAGGACTCAGGATTCAAATGAGAGATGAAGGCGACCCAGACAATGCGCAGCAAAGCAAAAGCCATTCAAGCGCGAGGTTCGATTTTTGTGCGTTCAGTACTGTGATGAAAAGCATGTCGGGTATGGCCCGGTATGGTATCTTAAAGCGACCTTGTGACCAGCACGCGCTGGCAGTGTCAAGATCACTTGGAAGTGTGCTGCGCTAATTGTATGTTACTGTATATGGTTCTACTATCTATTGATTGGAGATGGTTCGCCTTAAAGATGAAGGCTTTTTTTGGAGGGGGGGGAACACAGACAGGGCCGAGTGTCCTACCGCCATCTACCGCCACTACTGAGGACATCAGGCTGGGGGAAGGAAAAGTCGACTAAGTGGCTCAGCATCCGTGTGATACGCGACATGCCTCTTTCTTCGTCAGCGTTCGTCGATCATGTGACTACTTCCCTGGACGAGAAGCATGTCAACTAGATGCGCTGTGCGAAACACAACGACTCCTCAGTGCGGCAGTGCCTGGAACACTCTGAAGCAAGCCTAAACATGTTACATTTCAGCTCCAACTTCCTCACATGAGCCAAGTCACGCGGCAGTCTTAGCAAGTGGCAGTGGTGCAGTCGCCCGCCGCATCGGTCTCTGTTTGCCTAATGCATTCGGAATTTGGCAGGAGCCCACAGGTCCCGCAGTGAAGATCACGAATTAAATTTGTGATTCGCACCTCGTCGTTGTTGTCAGATGGTGTGCGACGATCAGGCACACGACATGAGTAGAAGTCAACAAGTGCTACTCAGTCACTCAGGCCTGCATTCTTGATGCTCGCGTTCGCAGACATCAAGCCGTCCTTCAAAAAAGCTCTGACACGTACCTCCCCATCTTGTGCCAACATTGCAATACCCGCCTGCTCCTTGCAGGGTATCTCTTCCCGTTTCGCCGAGGTCGGACCAGGCTTGGGACGTATGCTGTCTGCTTGTTGGTTGCCATGGTTTTGTGAACTCACAGTCCCATCTTGACCTCCACCTTTGCGCTGCGTCACACCTTCTGCATCAAAAGGCTTCTGTTGCAAAGGCAGAGTGCCCTGGGCCTGTGCGCCCGTTGTATTCAAGCATGATTCTTCTTTCTGAGCCTGTGCAGATGCTGCTGCGGCTGTCCACTCAGCCTTGCATTCCCCTGCTTGTAGCTCTGCTCGCGCCGCAGATGTTGCCCCTGTATTGGGAGGCTCATCCATGGTAGGACGCTCCTGCATCAAAGACTGCTGCTCTTGCGCACCATGGCTGTGTCGCGCCTCCGCCACTGCACCCGCGAGTGCTTCGGAACTGTCAGAAACAATCAGATTTGCATCCACCAGGGCCTCTCGATCCTGCCCACACGGTGCAATGCCACCCTGCTCACTGCTGGCTATCTCTTCCGCTTCTGGCTGCGTTGTGTGTGCTGCATGCTCTGTCGCAGGACGCGGGCCGTCTTGCTGCTGACTGTGCTTTGCTGCTGCCCGAGCTACTGCATCTGCTTCGACGGAGTGTCTCTTTAACTCAACGGCATGCTGGATGTCTGCGTCCTCCGCCCTTGCCGTATTCAAGGGTGCCTCTTCTTTCTGAGCCTGTGCAGATGCTGCCGTGGTTGAGTCCTCTGCTTGCGGCACTGCTCGTGCGACGGATGTTGGCTCGGTATCGGGAGCAGGCTTATCCATGCAGGGAAGCTCCTGCGATAAAGGCTGCTGCTCATGGCTGTGTCGCGCGGCCGCCGCTGCACCCGCGAGCGCTTCGGCATTGTCAGACACAATCGGATGTGTATCCACCAGGGCCTCGCGATCTTGCCCACACGGTGCAATGCCACCCTGCTCACCGTTGGCTATCTCTTCCGCTTCTGGCTGCGTCGTGTGTGATGCATGCTCTGTCGCGGGACGCGGGCCGTCTTGCTGCTGACATTGTTGTGCTTGCGTCTTGACCGCCTCATTTTCATCTGCAGCTGCGTGAGCTACTGCACCTGCATCAACAGAATGTCGCTTGAACTCAGCGGCATTCTGGATTTCTACGGCCTCCGCACTTGCTGCATGCAAGAGTGCTTCTTCCTTCTGAGCCTGTGCAGATGCTGCCGTGGTTGATTCCTCTGCTTGCGACTCTGCTCGTGCCGCGGATGCTGGCTCGATATTGACAGCAGGCTCATCCGTGCTGCGAGGCTCCTGCAATAAAGGCTGCTGCTCTTGTGCACCATGGCTGTGTCGCACGGCCGCCACTGCTCGCGCGGGCGCTTCGGCATTGTCAGAACCAATCACATTTGCATCCACCAGGGCCTCTCGATCCTGCCCACACGGTGCAATGCCACCCTGCTCACCGCTGGCTATCTCTTCCGCTTCTGGCAGCGTCGTGTGTAATGCATGCTCTGTCGCGGCACGTGGGCCGTCTTGCTGCTGACTTTCCTGCGCTTGTGCATTGACCGCCTCATCTTCATCTGCAGCTGCGCGAGCTACTGCATCTGATTCAACAGAATGCCTCTTGAACTCAGTGACATTCTGGATTTTTACGGCCTCCGTATTCAAGCGTGCTTCTGCCTTCTGAGCCTGTGCAGATGCTGCCTTTGTTGAGTCCTCTGCTTGCGGCACTGCTCGTGCGACGGATGTTGGCTCGGTATCGGTAGCAGGCTCATCTATGCAGGTAAGCTCCGGCGATAAAGGCTGCTGCTCATGGCTGTGTCGCGCGGCCGCCGCTGCACCCGCGAGCGCTTCGGCATTGTCAGACACAATCTGATTTGTATCCACCAGGGCCTCGCGATCCTGCCCACACGGTGCAATGCCACCCTGCTCACCGCTGGCTATCTCTTCCGCGTCTGGCTGCGTCGTGTGTGATGCATGCTCTGTCGCGGGACGCGGGCCGTCTTGCTGCTGACTTTCCTGCGCTCGTGAATTGACCGCCTCATCTTCATCTGCAGCTGCCCGAGCTACTGTATCTGCTTCAACAGAATGTCTCTTGAACTCAGCGACATTCTGGATTTCTACGGCCTCCGCGCTTGTTGTATTCAAGCGTGCTTCTTCCTTCTGAGCCTGTGCAGATGCTGCCGTGGTTGATTCCTCTGCTTGCGACTCTGCTCGTGCCGCGGATGCTGGCTCGGTATTGAGAGCAGGCTCATCTGTGCTGGGTGCAATGCCACCCTGCTCACCGCTGGCTATCTCTTCCGCTTCTGGCTGCGTCGTGAGTGATGCATGCTCTGTCGCGGGATGCGGGCCGTCTTGCTGCTGACTTTCCTGCGCTTGCGAATTGACCGCCTCATCTTCATCTGCAGCTGCTCGAGCTACTGCATCTACTTCAACAGAATGGCTCTTCAACTCAGCCGCATTCTGGATTTCTACGGCCTCCGCACTTGCTGTATGCAAGCGTGCTTCTTCCTTCGGAGCCTGTGCAGATGCTGCCGTGGTTGATTCCTCTGCTTGCGACTCTGCTCGTGCCGCGGATGCTGGCTCGGTATCGAGAGCAGGCTCATCTGTGCTGGGTGCAATGCCACCCTGCTCACCGCTGGCTATCTCTTCCGCTTCTGGCTGCGTCGTGAGTGATGCATGCTCTGTCGCGGGATGCGGGCCGTCTTGCTGCTGACTTTCCTGCGCTCGTGAATTGACCGCCTCATCTTCATCTGCAGCTGCCCGAGCTACTGCATCTGCTTCAACAGAATGTCTCTTGAACTCAGCGACATTCTGGATTTCTACGGCCTCCGCGCTTGTTGTACTCAAGCGTGCTTCTTCCTTCTGAGCCTGTGCAGATGCTGCCGTGGTTGATTCCTCTGCTTGCGACTCTGCTCGTGCCGCGGATGCTGGCTCGGTATTGAGAGCAGGCTCATCCATGCTGGGAGGCTGATGCGATAAAGGATGCTGCTCTTGTGCACCATGGCTGTGTCGCACGGCCGCCGCTGCACCCGCGAGTGCTTCGGCAGTATCAGAAACAATCGGAGTTGCATCCACCAGGGGTTCCGGATTCTGCCCAGCCTGCTCTCCACTGTGCATCTCTTCCGCTTCTGGCTGCGTCGTGTGCGATCCATGCTCTGCCGCACTGTGTCTGCGACGCGTGCCGTCTTGGTGTTCGCTGTGCTGATCCTTCGTACTCATGTTCCTCTGTTCGCCTTGTCCGGACTGCTGCGGGCACAACGGGGCTTCATTCGGCGCATCCCGGATTTTTGTGCCGTCCTTTGTGACGGAAACCTGCACTCGCCACGTGGGTGCAACATTGCTTACGGCTTACGTCTTGCGCACCTCCTGCAACCTGGTGCATAGTATCTGATTTACTATCTGCTGAATGGGAAAGCCGCACTTCAAGCATCCGCCTCTTCCTGTCGCAACCGCCCGGCTTTTCCTGCAAACGCGACGCTCATGACCCTTCAGTCTATGCGTGCTCACAAGGGTTTTGGAACCATCTCTCGGGGACCATCAGAACAGTCTCAGGAACCATCTTCGGATAAAGCGTGGACAAAGCTTGAAACAATCCGGAACCGTTCCCAACCGTTGGATCTGTTCTGAAACGCTCTGACAAGTGTTCAAGGCTTGGAGGACTACAAACAGTAGATGGATCCTGAGAGTGTGATGGTTCCCGAGTTGACTGCAGCGAGAACAAAGACACCACTCCAAACGAACGAGAATGGTCTAGCAGCACTTAGGAAAACAGCCCGTCCTTCGTCCTGACTTTCTTTGGCTGCTCGGTTTAAGCTGTCCACCTGCGCTCATAGGGGAGCCACAGGATGGACATCAAGGAATTCGTTGTCCTTCTCATTCCCCTTATCAAAAACTCAAGGTATTTCTTCTATCTTCCGCGCCGTCCCCCGAACTCCTCCCCTGTCACCGAAGCGACAAAGACATGACTAACGGTACTACCGCTGAGGCTTCAAATACATCATATACATCGTTTGAAGTAAGCTTCACATACACTACAGGTGCTGTGCCTGTCATATCTTGGCAAGAGGTCAGGGGGCTTACGGTCGACAGATCAGTTCGCCACCACCGTGACCACGGAACTCTTACATCAGCAGATAAAACCCGGCAGCCGACGGATAGCGGTTTCCACCCGATGAAGCAGGCAGAGCTTGTTCGGAATCCGAGTAGTGGTATGGGAAAGCAAGATTCACAGGCAGTCAGAATCAACTTCAGCCTGCCTGCGAGGGCATCATCTCCCGCTCGTCGGAAGCATCGGCAGGGAGATCTATCTTCTGCCGTGTGGTTTCTTGCTCTGCCACATTCGGGGCAGCGACTGCTGCATCATTTGGCGAAGCAGACTCACCAGCCGCAACAGCCTGCCCCATAGCCTGAAACTTCATTTTCAGCGGCCGATCTTTCAGCAGGCGCTTAAATGTCTCAGAGTCCATTCCTTCCAGGGGCATAAGTTCATCTTTTCCCACCTCCGTGAGGGCATCTCCTTCATGCACGCCGGCATCATTGCCAAAAGAATTCTCCGCAAGGCCCTTCACGTCTATGCGACCAGGTGGCATCCCGTTGAACGTGATGCCAAGCTTGCCCACTTCCAGGCCTGCGATGATTGTGTACGTATCCGTCGGCAGGCCGTCTGTTGCCGGCATTTCGCTCTGCATGCGCTGCTCGTTGCCGTGATCCACATGACTGGAAGAGTTCTCCGCAACGACTGGGGCAGCTGTTGCACCTGCACAAGGCGCAAGGAACCTCATCTTCAGCGGCCGGTCCTTCAGTAATCCCTTGAATCTCTCCTCGCTTATGCTCTCCAGGGGTTGCAAGTCGTCACTGCCGACTTCTATCAGGACGTCTCCCTCCTTCACCCCGCTGGCGCTGCCGAATAGGCCTGCAGCGACACCCTTGACTTCAATCCGGCCAGGAGGCATGCTGTGGAAGCTGATGCCCAACTTGCCCGTGTCAGCACTTGCCACCACTGTGTATACACGGTACCCGGGTTCCTGTGGCGCGGTTTCTTGCTCCGCAACCGATGTGTTCGTGGCCACAGTAGGGGCAGCGACTGCTGCATCATTTGGCGAAGCAGACTCACCAGCCGCAACAGCCTGCCCCATAGCCTGGAACTTCATTTTCAGCGGCCGATCTTTCAGCAGGCGCTTAAATGTCTCAGAGTCCATTCCTTCCAGGGGCATAAGTTCATCTTTTCCCACCTCCGTGAGGGCATCTCCTTCACGCACGCCGGCATCGTTGCCAAAAGAATTCTCCGCAAGGCCCTTCACGTCAATGCGACCAGGTGGCATCCCGTTGAACGTGATGCCAAGCTTGCCAACTTCCAGGCCTGCAATGATTGTGTACGTATCCGTCAGCAGGCCGTCTGTTGCCGGCATTTCGCTCTGCATGCGCTGCTCGTTGCCGTGATCCACATGACTGGAAGAGTTCTCCACAACGACTGGGGCAGCTGTTGCACCTGCACAAGGCGCAAGGAACCTCATCTTCAGCGGCCGGTCCTTCAGTAATCCCTTGAATCTCTCCTCGCTTATGCTCTCCAGGGGTTGCAAGTCGTCACTGCCGACTTCTATCAGGACGTCTCCCTCCTTCACCCCGCTGGCGCTGCCGAATAGGCCTGCAGCGACACCCTTGACTTCAATCCGGCCAGGAGGCATGCTGTGGAAGCTGATGCCCAACTTGCCCGTGTCAGCACTTGCCACCACTGTGTATACACGGTACCCGGGTTCCTGTGGCGCGGTTTCTTGCTCCGCAACCGATGTGTTCGTGGCCACAGTAGGGGCAGCGACTGCTGCATCATTTGGCGAAGCAGACTCACCAGCCGCAACAGCCTGCCCCATAGCCTGGAACTTCATTTTCAGCGGCCGATCTTTCAGCAGGCGCTTAAATGTCTCAGAGTCCATTCCTTCCACGGGCATAAGTTCATCTTTTCCCACCTCCGTGAGGGCATCTCCTTCACGCACGCCGGCATCATTGCCAAAAGAATTCTCCGCAAGGCCCTTCACGTCAATGCGACCAGGTGGCATCCCGTTGAACGTGATGCCAAGCTTGCCCACTTCCAGGCCTGCGATGATTGTGTACGTATCCGTCGGCAGGCCGTCTGTTGCCGGCATTTCGCTTTGCATGCGGTGCTCGTTGCCGTGATCCACATGACTGGAAGAGTTCTCCGCAACGACTGGGGCAGCTGTTGCACCTGCACAAGGCGCAAGGAACCTCATCTTCAGCGGCCGGTCCTTCAGTAATCCCTTGAATCTCTCCTCGCTTATGCTCTCCAGGGGTTGCAAGTCGTCACTGCCGACTTCTATCAGGACGTCTCCCTCCTTCACCCCGCTGACGCTGCCGAACAGGCCTGCAGCGACACCCTTGACTTCGATCCGGCCAGGAGGCATGCTGTGGAAGCTGATGCCCAACTTGCCCGTGTCAGCACTTGCCACCACTGTGTACTCAGTTCTAGGGTGCTGCCCGGGAATCGCATTCTCCACATCCTCTTTGGGTCCAGGCCGGGTTTTCTCCAGGGTCTGAAAACGCAGCATTAGAGGCCGATCCTTCAAAAAGCTCTTGAAGGTCTCGGCGCTCATTCCCTCCAGTGATTGCAAGACATCTCTACCCACATCGGTGAGCACGTCTCCCTCCTGTACGCCTTTGTCGCTGCCGAACAGACCTTCTGTGACACCCTTGACCTCTACCGAACCGGGCGGCATTCCATGAAATGACACTCCCAGCTTTGTGTTGTCGTGATCTGCGGCGACAGTGTACGAGCCGTGAGGGCTTGAGAACCCCAAGCGAATCGGGCGTCCTGCTAAGCGTTCCTTAAACTGGCCCTCCAGAGTGTCAAGGAGAAGGCCGTCTACTTGCAAGAGCTCGTCCCCGGCCTGCACTCCCTGTATACACCCGAATGATCCTTGGGTCACGACTTTCACGAAGACCTTGTCGGGAGGAGTGCCACTGAACTGGATGCCAAGCTTCCTGGGATTCGGTTTGAGGCTTGAGGGGTTCGCCTAAATCCGTCTGCTGTAGGATTCTGGGAGTTTTTTGGTACTGGCCGGGCTGAAGAAGAGCCAAGGCACTGTACATCCTGTCCGGCCACGACACAGTACTGCCGAAAGCTCATGCACGCAAAAGCTGTCCAGGCATGGGATCTCTGCAGCGTCGACCCCTCCTCAAGGCTGAAGGTGCCGGCATTGACATGTTGACGCTATCGATAGCCTGAAGCCAAACTAAACGCTCCTACAAGTGCCTCGGGCAAGAGTCGCGGAGCGGGCAATTACATGTTAGAGTTTCGATCTCGCAGGCTGTGGCAGCACACCTACGGGCACCTGAATCCTTTTTGCATGTTCCACGCACTCTTCACCATTGCAAACCGTTGTGAAGCGCGCCTTTTCTGCACACAGCAGACATGTCGTGTCACCAGCATCGTCCCATCAAAGACCAGGAGCGCTCGCCGCGCTCCCAAACCGACGGATGCGATCCTGAGCAGACTCTGATTTCGCACACTGCCTGTTTGTGGGGACTACTGTGCAATTAACATGTGGATTCCCCGAAGCGTCCCTCCCTTACACATGCCAGAGATCCGTTCATCATCTCATACCAGCTGCCTGTTGTTCGGCGCAAGTGTGCGGGCAGCCACCCCGCATGACCAGGCAGATTGGCGTTGTGCACTGCCAAGAACTTCGGCTTGCACGCCCTATCCAAAAGCGGCCAAAGTCCTCGTAAGTCCAGTGGAGGGTCCAGCATCACCAGGTCAAGACTTCCGATACCAGTACTGCTGCAAAGCGCATCGAAAACACCCAAATTGTCGAAGACGTCTCCGTGCAGAATCCACACGCCAGGAGTCTCCTTCACGAGAGCTGCCATGCGAGCGTTCAACCCTTCTGGCCGAGCCAAGGAGAGGATCTGAGCTGGAATTCCGACACTCTCCAGGATGTTTTGGGCGTGATAAGCGTTTCCCAGGTGTCTCTCCATAGTAAAGAAGTACGACAGTCGCTTGTGTCCTTGACGCCGGTGAAAAGCTCCGGACAAGGCGTGTGCCAGCAGTAGAGTCGAGCCACCGCCAACGCCGGTGAAAAGTTCTATCGCAGTGTTCATGCCCCGTGCGAGGCACCAAAGAGCGCGACCGAACTTGCAGGACCGTGATATACAGCCAAGCTCGCTCGCCTCTGTACCTCTGTGAGAACACTAAATTACTAAACACATCAAAACCCAGACCTTACACGTCTGCAGCCAAGACAGCAAGAAATTTTTAATCAGATGAGAAGATTCGGACTGTGCCACTAGGGTTTCAGGCAGTGACCCCGTTTCACAACCCTGTGCCTGGGAAAAAGGACATTGCAGGGGGGGGCATATCTGAATCCATTGGTTTGCAGGTTCCTTGAGCTTCCAAGAGCGTGTTTTGAAATCCACACTTGGAAGCCAGGGTATGCTCACAGCTTCGAAGAGACAGCCTGGTACGCCGGGTATCATTCAGAACGGGTGAGCAGCGATATTCCGTCGCAGCGGCACCTGCCATGATGATGTAGACAGCAACATCCCTCGAAGCCACCATTGCCACAGCGGTCTGAGTCTTAAGCTCGCGTTTTCTCTGCTGCAACTTCCGAGGGCTTTGTATCCTGCTTTGTTGCTAAATGCTACATGCTGCATGCTTGCGAACTTGCTTGGCAGACTGTGAGCTCTACAGCGCTTTGGACCTCGCCTGCAGACGCCAGCGCGAAACTGCACTTTTCAGGCGAGAGTGAGCCTCGCGGCACCATACTTTTGCGCTCAGAGGACAAGGCACAAACTTCGTCACGAAGGTGGCATGTCAGGCTGGCCTGATGAGCAGTCGACAAGACCCTCTCACGGGGATGGGAAGATATGCAATATGCAACACTGGCCCTCAAAAGAGCAGAATGCAGAATGCCTGTCAGCACCGAGGAGTAGTAATCGTTGTAGTCAAGGCGTGTCGCCAAGTTGCTGAGGAAGTGCTCATAACGAGCTTTGGACTCTTGCCTTGATGCGAAATTCAATTGAACTGTTACTGAACTCTCCAAAAGCTGTTCGCGTTCGAGTTGCTGGATCTGACGCAGAAACGCTTGCAGCTGGCTTTCAAAAATGGTCTTCCATTTAGCCATCATCTTCGAATAATGCCTGTGCAGTGGGAAGGGTCTTTGTTGAATTCTGGCTTGGCAAAGGTGTGAGCAAACAGGATTGAAGCCGAGGCCGGAGGCGTGGGGGCATTTCGATTCAAGCAACAAGCACACTCGATCGGCCCTGGGCCCTCACCCGTATTCCCCCACTTCCACCAGCGAACCAGGTTGGAGAAGTTCTCGAGCGAAACCCCACCTACTGCGGGCCCCTCGTCCCTCCTGAGCATGGAATATACGCTACCCGATGCCGGCGGCATCCAAGCTAACTTCTCCATACTCGGATGTCACGGGTCCCAAGTTGTTGAATCAACTTTGCAGTTCCCACGCCACAAGGCATCGACGAAGACGTGCGCATTGGCAGTTGACTTAAATGGAACTGTCCGGTCTGCTTGCCAATACTGCAGTGATCTGCACAGCCATGCAGAACCAGTCGGTGCCTCTGTGATAGAAGAGACAGATAACGCCTCACTTCTGGGCAAGTCTGCTTTGCAGTTAGAGATATGTTGGGTCACTCTAAGACGCAAGAAGAGCCCAAGAGCACATCGCTGCACTAAGCCGAGGGTCTGCGTGCTGTGCCGGGCCTTTGCCAGCCTGCAAGCACAGAGTCGGTCGAAACGTTCCCAGGAGCCCGCTTCCGCCTTCTCTCGGCAGGAGTCTTCCCTTCCATGGGCTCTTCCAACGGCTCCACCCCAATGCTGTGCGAGAACCTGCCAGCGGTTGGGTGTCAAGTGCAGGGGGCTGTCATCGGATGCCGCGCCTCCGCAAATTGTGAGCAAAAGTCAAGCATGTTTGCAGTACTTTCGACAGATGCCTTCCGTAGCAGCCACTCAGATTTGTACTGCAAGAAGCATGCGTCTGCAGTGTCAACTGTGGAGATCAGGACCTGTAGAGGTCTCTTTCCGTAAGAACAACTTCGCGCAGACAGGCTTCAAGAAAACTTTCATGGCCTTAGGTAAAGTTCCCGCAATTCGCAAACGAACTCAAAGGACATCACCTGACATTGCTACGGTGCTTCCGTTCCCCCAAAAACCTTGTCGTGCGGACAACACAGTGCTGCTTGCTTCAGGCCTAACCGGGTGGCAATGTAGCACGTCGTCTATTGTCTCCGCTTGGCGCAGTGTTGCCAGGAACTCATGCGACTTCGGCTCCAACACTTCCACTGTGACATAGTATATATAGTCACGGCAGAAGTGCAGCATCCGCTGCCGAAGGGAATAGTACCTAAGCTGGATTTGCCGAGACCGTCTGGGATAACTTCTTGTGAAGACCTTGTTAACTTGTTGAGTGTTGGCAGGCGTGGCACGGGCTGAAACTTGAGTCCAAGCCCAGCTCTTTGGTGCATTGATGGTCCACCCAGACTTCCACAAGCTTCCGTTCAACGTAGCGGCAGTAGAGTAGGTGCCGGAAGATGACCTCGCATGATTCGACTGTCTTGTACCAGCCCACCAGTCGAGCAGGCATGTGAGCTGCGACATTGCCATGCCCTTGCCTGGTACTTCAGCAAGATGGTGCGAGAGAACAGAATTGAAAGAGGCCAAGCAGTACGGTACTTCAGCGTCAAGCATCTCACGCCAGAGCCATCATTCCCGACACCTCAACATAGCTTTTTGGCCAGGCACGTAGTGAGAGCATGAGGCACAGTGAAGGCCCGAAATCAAGTTGTGTTTCTGCGCTTTTGACTAGTATTAGAACATTGAGACTGCTTAAGATGGTTGCGAGAGTTCAAGATCTTAGTTCATGTCTTGCTCAGAACTCTTTGCCATGTCCGTAGTTCCAGGCGGAAGCGGGAAAGCTGAGATCAGACGGCTTCTGGCTCTATGTGGTGTGAAAGGTCCGCACTCCGCACCCTGAGTTCCCAAAGCCTGAAATTAAGCGACAGAAAACTCGGCTTCGACTTATCGCATGCCCCAACCCAACTCAATCCACAACACACATGCACATGCTGTCACTGTAGCATGTGATAACTGGGCCAAGGCAGGGTGCGGCACCCCCAAGTCAACACAGATCGTGGCCAAATTTCGGAAAGCTGCTTGCCGATGGTGCAGAGGCAGCAACCCCCGAAATGGAAGCTTCATCCTGCCGTGGCACAGACAGAGAGAAGTTTCAGAAATGCTTCTTGGCTTCAGCTCAGACAGACACTACGAGACCAGGTTACACAGGGCCGGAGAAGAACACATGAACACCCATAGCGAGCTTGTGCTGGCACTCTGACATGATGTTACATGGTGGCTGGTAGCGGCCGCCTCTCACGACACAGACCTCCGCCTTCAGAAGCTCACCAACACAGGCAGACAAAAGCGTATCAGACTGAAGGTATTGGTTTTCGTGCTTCATGAATGCTCCACGAACGGCTTCCTTGTCCGGATCTTCAGCGGATCCTTTTACCATTCTGTGGCATGCGTCCTGCAGGCCACAGGTAGCTCCAGCTGACACACGGACAAGAAAACAAAACCCGTCGAACCATCAGCACTACAGTCACTACACAACACGGACCAGTGGAATTGCTGAGCATCTGTACTTTGCATGAAGTCCTATCAGGCCGGGCCGGTCCTCCACACGAAACGAATGGAGGCCGCAGGAGATGTCTTCGCGATATGGGTCGGTAGCCAAAGAGGATGCACGCACAGCCAAATCAAGAAGGCCATCCAACCTTGGATTTCTTCACGATTTCGGAGTCCCACAATACTCAAGCCTTGCTGTTGCAAAACTTCTGAATGACGGAACTTCTCCTTGACTTTGAAAGTCTACTCCGTCTCAGACTTGTGAACAGCCACTGTTTTTGTTTTGCCTTTGCAAGCGTTTTCCGGCCTTGGTAAGGGGTCAAACCACATTGCAACCACCTTCGACCAGGTTTCCTGCAGCCTTGCAGGCCAGCAGCCGAGCCAATGGTATCTCTTCTGCCGGCCGTTCCAGCTCACCAGCGGTATCCAAGAAGTGTCCGAACCAGTCCGCCTAGAAATCCCACATGAAAGGGGCGATGACGATGCCTGGTCCAGGCCTTGCTGAGGAAGAAGAAGTGGCGCAGGGACTTCAACCGACCCAGCAGGTCGAGGCCTTCCTGAGCGACGGCGGGGACCATACAAACACAGAGCCGCAATGAGCCGCAAGTGTCAAGCGAATGCAAGCAAGCTTCCGGCTGGGGCTTCATGAAAAGATCAAGTAAAGCGGCAGCTGCACGCCGATATGCGACGTCGATGGCCTGCTCAGAAAAGCAAGCGACAGGAGAGAGTGTCTGTTTTGGTCCGAAGGTCGCTGGGCATTTCCCGCAACATGCTTGGCTTGATCTATCTTTGATGCCACGGCTCTGTTACACATCAAGGATACACTGCCCAGATTCGCTTCCTCGGGACCAAGTCTTTACTGGGATGTTCATATCTGAATGACCTCATTGGCGCGAGGTAGCAACTCGAAACTAAACCTGAATACAAGTGATGGAACATGTGATGCAGTTGCAGCAGTCCATGGAACCCTTGGTGTGTGGCGTGATTGTTTGGCAGTGTTCCAGTGCTCGGAAGGACATGTCGCTCAATTCTTGCTCCGAGTTTTCGACTGCACTGTGATTCAACACACGAATACCGAAGAAGGCTCGCGTTCCCTTGATTTGAGACTCCAACCGCGGCAGCAAGATGGTACTTATCGGGACCCAGTCTGATCTTCCCGATGACTCGCTGGGGACCGTTGGTTGAACGCCTGGCCCATTCTGCACAGCTCTTGTAGGGGACTGTAGAAAAGTCATGACACTCCACTCGCTGCTTCTTCAGCTGCGTACAACCTTGCTGCACAGTAAAAGTTCATGAAGCCATCTACTGCGACAGCAGCAACACTTCCGCGGGATGTTGAATCTGTGTTTGGGGAAGCAAATGCAGCTTGCAATCGGGTTCAACCGGGATATTGCAGCATGTTAAATCATGTGAGAGAAGAAACACATACATGCATACGAAGTCGTTGCTGAAAGTCAGAAAGGTAAATCCAGTGTCTCATGATTCTCATAGAACTCCACGACATGACTCTTCGTGTTCGCTGCTGTTCAAGTCGTTGGTCACTTTATGCAGGACACCTACCCCTGCCCTTGAAACTCAGAGTGCAGCCTCGGCATAATCTCGCCGGCTCCGGGAGTAGCGGAAGGGTGCCCGTCCTCCAGCTGGCTCTGCCAGTTGTCTGCCAGCGGCCGAAAAATAGATGTGAAGGTACTTTCCTGCATGGCTCACGACAGCCAAAAACACGTGCCCGTGCTTTTCTGCTGCCTCTGCTCCCTGCCTGCATGAAGAATACGTTCCCGGCCAGATGCCAAGAACTGCGGGACAGCCCTGCAGCTTCTCAGCAATCCAAAGGTCTGTGCTGGATGCTGGTTTGTAATTTTTGTGGGATGAAGTTACAACGATCGACCGCACGAAACCAAAAAGCAAAGTGTCGCTCTGCCCCTCCATGTACAATGGACGTGATGGACTTGCCATGCAAAACCCTTGACTCTCTCGCTTTTGACAAGTCGTCGGGAAGTGATTCTAGATGAACTCAGCAGACTTTCCAAAATATCTCCCTGCCTCATCCTTTCCCTGCAGCCGTGACTTGTACTGATTATGCCACGCACTCAAACCGAAGCATCAGATCGGCCCCTGAGGTGTGTGGGACTGGTTAGCCGTCTCGGTCGACACCATTTCAGAAAACGCTTCGTCGTCGCGTTCACGCAGATTTGCAACCATTGCAAAGAAAGGCGATGGATCGACATCAAACCATCGATCGCACTTATTTGGGGCGTCCTCCCAGGCAGACTCCATCGCCGGTGGTGATACTTACTTTAGTTCTGCATCTTTTGACAGAGTTGGGGGCAAGGACTGTGAGGTGCCAAGCAGCAACCCATAAGTACTCCACAACAATGCTCAATAACCTTGAAAACAGTCTAGACTTGGCATCTTTGATCCTTCATTTGCTGCCGTTCCTTCCTACACAGCTGTCACTCTTGGCGTCTGGGCTGCCGAAGAAAGCTACATGCATCCGCCTTCATCCGCCCTTCGCTGGTGTGACGACCTCCTGCTTAGGATGGCGGAGGCACACAGCCTATTGTTCAGCTGGACGCTTGCCTTATCGGGAGAGCCCTTATGCTTGGTGGAGCCCGGGCCGCACCGGACCACAGTCGCCGTCGGATGCGCCTACTCAGGCGCCGTGCCCGTCGTGTGGTCCGGTGCGGCCCGGGCTCCACCAAGCATAAGGGCTCTCCCGATAAGGCAAGCGTCCAGCTGAACAATAGGCTGTGTGCCTCCGCCATACGTTGGGCCATGAGCATGGCTTCCCCCGTATTTGCAGCTGGGGGATCTAGTGGCACGTGACGACGTGTAGTGCTGCAGGTCGTCCACGAGCAGAAAGATCAACCGCGACCTTCTTCGCTTGGTGCTGTGACAGCAGTGCGGTGGGCGTCGGCTAGGCGCGCCGGATCGGGTCTCCGCTCCCTCCCCGTCGCCATCTCGGTGGACGTCGTCGGTCTTCTGCACGGCTACGGCACATAGCGAGGTCACCCCCGAGCGACCATGAGAGGAGCCCGTCCAAGTAGCCAGCCGTGCGGTCAATCGCTGCAAGAAGGGCTTCCATCGACTCCTGGATGTGCGCCGCGCCGCCTTCGTGGATCGCGAGGTGGATTGTGATTGTGTCGAAGGCTGCCGCAGCATTTCTAATGCCTGCCAAGGACGGTGCATGCCCCTGTGCTTGGGGGTCTCCCCATGTTATTGATGAGGTTCCGAGCTTGTTGTAGGTGATGTTCAAGTCTAGTCGCGTGGCCAAGTTGGCGTGGTGTGGAAGTACTTGTCGTAGAAGGACCTGCGCTTCTGCCAGCGGGTTCGGTGGTGGCGGGTGTGGAAGATCATCCTCCAGGACTGTACCATTTGAGCCATGTGAAGAAAGAGCCCGCCGGGACCATGCCAGCTGCAGCCGATGCAGTTGGGCACAAGCTCGGTACGCAAGTTGCGTCACGTCGACTCCCGGGTCTGCATGAAGGATTGTTGCAGCAAGGTGTGCAGCGTTGTCTCCAGTGCTTCCCGGAGTTGCTCCTGGTCGTTGAGGACAACACTGTTGGGCCCGGCTGGTTGGCTTTCTGGTAGTCGACTACTACCAGGAGTCGATGTGGGTCATCGTCTCGGTCAGGATCGTCATGACTTCCGCCAAATGGAAGTTGAAGTAGTTCTCGAGGGCGGCTCGGTTGTACATATTGTTGCTGTTGGGGAACTGCCTGGCGGTTTGGAGGTGGTTCTTGTGGTCGATCCGCGGAATCACTGGTAGTCGAGGTCGATTCAGGGGACGGCCGCCCCGATGCCCCTCCCTCAGGGTCTCTTTCCCAGTGTCTGGGGATTGTGGGATCATGCCTTTCTAGAGGTGTAAGCGGACGCGGAAAAGCCTCGTAAGCTGGCACCACTGGAAAACCTCCCAAGCGCTCCATGTCTCCATCAAATGTTGGTCGGCGGGACCACAGACGGTCTTGTCCCTTCCACAAAAAGACTGCCCCATTGTTAGGGGGATCCACCCCTTTTGTGTTCTCCGGCGGCGGATAATCCACGGAAATCAACCAGAATCGGGGTGTCCTTGCGACAGCGGGTAGTGCTACTTGGAATCCTGGTTGTTTTATAAGTGGTTAACATAGTTATGTGGAGTTGTACCCTAGTTATTAAACTGTTATAAGTGAGCGTTAACCGTCTATTAAGTGATTACATGTTCCTATAATACTTATATCTTTTATGTTATGTTACTAAAGTTAATATTTTGTTAGCTAAGTAACATAATTAACTTAACCTTTTATAAAAGTTAGGGTGAGTTACATGGAGTTATGGATGTTGAAATATAGGCTTTAAGAATACGAAATTCATACATGGAGATGTAATATTTCAATGACATGTATTCTGATTTGTGGTGCATAATTCGTCGAGTGCACTGAAGGTATAAGATAAGAAATCATGGGTTTTAGAATGGAATCGAAGTTTTTGCTGAATGTTATCATTGATTTTGAAGATTATAGTATGGACTGCCAGAGATATATGTTGTTTGCTTTTAGCAAATAATTTATCAGAGTTGTTGTTCGATTTTTTGTATTTGGCATTGCATGTGTGTGATCATGGGAGCCAGACGGCCATAGCAGTGTGCTCATGTCTTTGTATTGCATGGTATGTTTGCTGCAGCCACCCGGCCATAGCGAGTGCCAGCTACAGCTTTCCACGTCCACCATAGCTTCCAAGCATGGTGGAAATTCGTGCGGCCATCCAGATAAAGTACGAGTCGGAGAGGCCAATCCTCATCCCCAAGGATCTGGTGAAGCTGTCCAAGGACAAACAGTGGCTCCAACTTCGGCCCACTTCCCAACCCATAATTGAGTTGCTCACAGGCCAGAGACCCGACAAGAATGCCAGTCTGTCGGGTTCTACGGCCATGGCCAATCTCATCAAGAAGAGGAACCAGAGCTTCGACCAACCAGCAACACCAGCAGAGCAACTTTTCGATGCTCCAGAGCCAGGCTCAGGAAAGAAGTCGACCAGAAAGAGGTCTCTTCCAGACAACCAAGAAGAAGAAGTTGCCATGGACATCAATGGTTCCAAAGTCACCTGCTTGATGAGTGGCAAGAGGCCAAGGAGGTGCGATCTCACCATCCAACTCGAACAGCACCAGATCGAGACCATCATCAAGACCATTCGCAATGATGAGGATACGGCCCAAGTCCTCGGCCAGGCCAAAAGAAGCTACAAGAAGAAAGCCAGGTAGTAGCCACGACCAGTCCAGGAGTGACTCTTCCAGACTCTGCCAGGCCTTCGCAGGAAAAGGCTTGCTGCAGAACAGTTTTGCAAGTGTCAAGTGTTGAAGGGATGCATACAGTTTTGTTTGCTTTATCGTCTGCCTGCAGCCAGTATATAGGCCATCCATGCATATCCATGGTCGCAGAACCATGCCACTGTTGAACCCGACAGATATATATGCAGGTGGTTAGAATCCAGCAGTTCCAGACGAGCAGAAAGAAGTTGCCCGGCACAGCCACACTTGAATTCCAGATAGGATATACCAGACAAGGCCACAGCCGCACAGAAGCCAGAAGCCATGGCTGTCCCTCCAGCTGTGGTCCAAGAGGTGGAGGCCATTGTGAATGGCCGCGAGCCAGTGAACACCAGAGTCACCAAGGTCTTGCAGGTGCTGGAGCACCATGGCCTCTGCCAGCAGCAGACCTTGGTTCCAAGCCAAGTTCTTTGCCACCCCTCCAACCGGGGAGGGCAGATGGTGTCCCACTTTGACGTTTGGGCCAAGGGACACCAACTCTTGGCAGTTGGCCTGCAAGTGCATCTGCTCCAAGGGTCCATTTGTCTCCAGATGTCCACGGACCCCCAAAAGCGCCAGCAGCAGGTTTGGAGGAACCAGCAGCTGGTCCAGGAGAGCAAGGGCTCCCTGGCCCCAGTCAGTGGAGCAGAGGGCCACTCAGATGACACATAGAATTGGTTTCCTTTTCTCTATATATCCAATCCATTTACAATTTGCGGATAAATGTATATTGTAGACATACATTGGCCACTGAGGATACCTATCCCTTGCCAGCAGCCACACCACGGCATTCTTGAGATGCCTGGAGCATGGGACCACGGATCCCAGTGGCAAAGCCATCTCCGTGCCCAAGACAGACCCAGTCTGGTCCGCCATCCAGACCGGGTGGCGGTGGCATGTGGTGGCCTCCAGTGTGGAAGAAGCCATGCCAAGCCTTCCACAGTTCTTCCAAGTCGGAGCCAACTCTGGCAATGCCATTGGCAGAGCCACCAGCGAGTTGGAAGCAGCCTGCCAAATAGCCATTCAAGTGCAAATGGGAGCCAGTCTGGAGTCGGCAATCCAGTCCGTTGCCAGCGGCGAAGTTGCCTGCAGGCAGAGCCTCCCAGCCATAGGGCATTATGTCTCGAGATACTCTGGAGGCACAAGCTTTCCATTGCTGAAATTCCTTTCCCACTTCTCCTCCACCTACGGCACCACGTGCATGATGGGCCAGGATTTCATGGAGGCGTTGTCGCACACCACCTTCCCAGACCCTGGCAACCTTTACCCATTGCTCCGCACAGCTCTATGGGCAACCCAGTGCACATCCACCAAACAGCAAGACGGCTTCGCACGACTCCTCACCAGAGCCGACGTCCAGAGACTGTCGTCGCCACAGAACATGGAGTCCGTCAGGACGGCGGAGTCCATGCTTTCGGATTCCTGGAAACTGGTCCAGAGCCAGCTTCCAGAAGGCACCAGCACCAATGCCGGCAGCAACCATCTCTACAAGTGTTTCGGCAAGTTTTGCGTCAGAGCCATCTTGTTTCTGACCAAAAAGGAAAAGCTTGGCCCTGATGCCCAGCAGAAGCTGGAGTCCCTGGCCCAGATTCTCGACCTTTTCACCCAGGACGTTTCCAAGGTCAAGCAGGCCACCCCAGCTGCAGAGGCAAAGACCATCAAGGATGCAGTCTCTGCCCAGCCATGGGAAGCCACCTTGCTCCAGAACACCCACATCAAGGTGGGCGACCAGTGCCCATGATTGCACATAGGAGTTTTGCTGTTTTAATGTCTGTTCCCTCATAAGATTCTGCTGTAGATACATTCCATACACAAACCAAGGTACACCTTGCCAAAGGAGCACGGAGCCAAGGTCTACCAGCTCCTGCAAATCACCAACGAGGGTGGGACCATGGAGCACAGGCCAGTGCTCCAGGCACCGGAGACAGTCCATGTGCCGCTGGCGGGGCTGGGGAAGTGGCGGGTCTCCCGCCACTCCATGCCAGCCATCGGCCCAGCCGACATCATAACCAGGGGACTCCCATCCAGCCATGCCATGGCCCAGGAGGACTTCCAAAAGGCAGCTGTGGTCACGGCACTCCACCAATGCTACCAGGAGCAGTCGGTCGAGGACTTGGAACTCCTTTGCATGGCTTCCAGTCCCCAGGCACTGTATGCCAAGAAAGCCATTGCCAGCAAAAAGCTCAAGCTGGTTCCATTGGGTTCCATCAGCAAAGTGAAGACAGGCCAGAAGCCGCCCAAGCTGGCCATTCAGGCCTTCGGCCATGACTGGGCCATTGGAAGCTGGAAGCAGGACCTCCAGTTCCAGGCAGAGGGCACCATCGTGCCATTTTTCTGGTGCAGGACAGCAGAGGGCGAGGATGAGGGCAACATGGTCTTGACTACGATCAAGCAGGGGCCATGCACCGTGCCCATCCTCCATAACCCTGCGAAGATCCAAGCCAATGAGCAAATCTTGCAGAAGGTCGAGGAGGAAGCAGCCACGTCGGCTTCAGCCAAGAAAAAGCCCAGGAAGGGCTGACCCAGCCTCTATGGGCCATGCACATGGGATCCATCCTTGCACCATGCAGAGCTGCAGGAGTTTTGAGGGTTCCAAGTTTTGCAGAGCTGCAGGGACCAGGCTGTTGCGGCAAAAACAAGCACCTTCTTGGATCCAGGTGACTTGAGCAAGCCTCCTGTGGCTGTCCCAGCACCGATTCTGCTTTCTAGCCTGCCACCATGGCTATACCATCTCTGTAATTGTCTGCTTGATCCAGCCACTTCTTCCCAAGAGCTTCCTCCGCCTGCACCATGCCCAAAGCCATGGTCTTCAAGAAGCCTGCTGCCCCCATGAAAGCCATGAAGGTGGTCCACAAGGCAGCTGCCCAGAGCAGGAAGGCGAAGGCCAAGAAGAAGTCAGCACCTGTGTGCAAGGCGAAAGCCCAGAAGAAGCCAGCAGCCAACTCCAAGACCGAGAAGCCAGATCTTCCGCCTCTAGAACCCTGGGAGTACGGCCGTGGCTGGGAGGAGTGGCAGATGATGTGGGCGGACCCCAACTACGAGCCATGGGGGGGCCAATGTGCTCTGCCCAAGGATTTCCATAGAAGGTACCGCACCAGTTGATGCAGACTTCCATGCACTCTGCTTGTTTGCGAGGAAAAGTACATGTAGCAGGACTCTCCTGGAGCAAGTGAGCCTTCAGGGGCCATGTCATGCTTGCTTTGTTATACTTCATGCCAAGTTCGACGAGTGCATGCACATCCCAGCCTGCATGGCCATGCCAGGGATTTGTCGTGATTGCTAAAGCCAAACATGGCCATCACAGGCCCAGGCTCTTCAAGACGGACCGCATATGTGAGGTCAATGCAGGCCACATGAACTCGCTGCACAGCAGCCAGAGTTGCAGGCCCAGAGCAGAAAATCCAGAGCTTTGTCCTGTTTCTATATACGAGGGACATGTAGCCACTGTGGCCATGCCAGGCAAGTTGCTGTGTTGTGCGAAAGCCAAGTGTACATAGGACCATGCCATGCCGTCACGTCTCAGCATTTTGGGTTTAGGGTCGGAAATAGAAGTGGAAATGCATAGTGCAGTTTGACCTTAAGAGACTCTAAACCCTGGACCCTAAACCCACAAGAATATACCCTTACATCCCAAAGCATAACCTCCCAAACCCGAGAGCTCGAAGCGCCATTTCTAAGCCAGGCCCTGAAGCAAAGCCAACACCATCCAAGTCCTCCAACCGCCAACTTCTAGAACCCCCAAGCTTCGTAGGGTGAAGCCAAGCCTTTGCAGGGAGCCAAGTGGCCATGCCAGACTGTTTGCACTTCCATTCTAGGGAGCCAAATGGCCATACCAGACTGTGTGCAGAGCCATGCAAGGCAGGTCCATGCTGCAGGAGCACAGCTTTTGCCAAAACACAGACCATTCGCAGCAACAGCAGCTGCCAAGCCACCAGGTATCTCCACGGCAGCATTGCTGAGGGTGCCATCAAGACCAAGAAGACCAAGAAGACCACGAAGGCTGCCGGAAACCCAAGCACAGCAGCTGTGCACCAGCGGCCAAAAAAAACGCCTCCAGTTTCGATTGCCTGAGCCGTTGTGGCCATGCCAGGCCATTGAGTTTGTTGTTTGAAAGCCAAGTGGCCAGGCATGCCATGGCACACATGTTCGTCTCTCTTTTTCGTTCCGCTGCAGCCTCTTTTGGCCATATAGCGAGCTGCCCACAGCTAGCCAAAGCCTCCACTCCAGTGCCGCCATGGTCAAAGGAGTCAAAAAGCCAGCGGCTGCCAAGGAGGCCACGACCAGGAGCAAGCCCAGGGCCAAGAAGCCGGCAGCAAAGCACTCCACGGACTCCACGGCCGTCTCTTCCAAGCCCGTCCAGCCTCCACCACAGGGGACAGTGACGGCCCTCCCAAGCAGTGCCATGCTTCCACCACAGGAGCCCATCGGGCCGCACGTAATGCTGCGGTGTGTGGTATGCCACCGCTCCACTATCTTTCTTTGGAAGCTCTATCACAATGCCAAGTGCACCCAGTGTGATTCCCCATGGATCACCAGCTTGGCGGGAGGAGCAGGCCTCGTCTACAGGTGGTGAGGGGCCACCCACCACCAGCAACCAGGCACCATGGGCCACTTTCTTCCATGCCACCAGGGCCTCTCTCCAGACGGCCGAGGTCGGCCATGGCTGCAAAGGTATGGAGGCCATTGGTTTTTTTGAAGGACCCAGCCTGCACCATGCAGGCCAGCAGCAGCATCTCCAAGCCGTGCCAAAAAAAAGGGTGCTTGAACTCAAGAAGCCTTCCATGGCCATACCAGCAGCAGGTTGTCACATGCCAAGCCACAAAGGCCATCACATGTGTTATTTTTTTGTCGGTTATATATTTATATCTGCACAGATGTATGCTTTTTTCTATATGTTCAGAAGACCATTTGGGTGAACATCCATGGAAGGACACATACATGTTTTGTACAGATATAGAGACATATATAGAAATGATTTGTCTGGAGTAACTTGTTTGTATATTAGATTCTGACTGTAAGGAAGATATCTTTGTAAGCCATGTATCATATACTCAGCACCAACAGAAACAGGCAGAAGAAGAACAGCAGCATGAGCAGTCACAACCAGAGCAAGCAGCAGCTGCACACTGGAAGACCAAGAAGGACAGCTGGCCACGGCCACAGCAGCAGCAACAGGGGCACCAAGCTTGAGACCAGCATCCATTCCGATAGGGGTCTATAAGCTTCATGGTTTAGGGTCTGAAATAGAAGTGGAGATCCATAGTGCCGGTTCACTTCAGTAGACCCCAAACCCCAGACCCCATATAAACCCAGAACGATGTACCCATGAACCCCAAAGCCGAAACCTGCGAAACCCGAGAGCTCCAAGCGCCATTCCTATGCCAGGCCCTGAAGCAAAAGCCACCAAATCCAACTCCTGAAACAGCCAACTTTCTGCAAGAACACCCAAGCTTCGTAGCAGCAAGCCAAGCCATTGTAGGGAGCCATGTGGCCATGCCAGACTGTTTGCACCACCATTGTAGGGAGCCAATTGGCCATACCACACCGTCCCTTTTGTCAGCCCAGGTAGGTACGTGACCACAGTTGTTGCCAGAATCTTTGCTCTTCGGAGCAGCCCAGAGTGCTCGAACCACTGTAGGAAGCCACAGACAGAAGTTTTGTATGTCACCATACTGCCAAAGTAAGAAATACAGTAGATTCAGAATTTGAATCTAATTCACAGATTCTGGTAGTTAGATTCAAATTTTGAATCTAAGATTCTCCAAGATTCAGAATATGAATCTAACTACCAGATATCCGCATTTAGATTCAAATTCTGAATCTAGCCATTTTACATACATAACAGCCACCATATAAACATCATCAAATATTTCCACATAAACTCAGTCGTCCTCCAGAGTGCCAGCCATGGCCACGTCGCCGACGGAGGTGCCAACGAGCCCCAGCGAGCACCCCACCGAGGTGCCCAAGAGGAGCTGGCCGACCCAACCTTGCCAGAAGAAGGCCCACCAGGGCAACCAACGGTCCAGATCCCCCTGCGATGCCCATCCCCGGTAGCTCCCACCGAAGCCAGCCCCACACAGCCAGGAGCCCCGCCATCACCCGTCACACCACTCGACGAGCAGACCACAGCCCAACCTCCGCCCAAACTCAAACCCCCCATGACCCAACCCGTCCCCCCAATGCCATGGCCCTTCCACGTCCCAATCCCCAACCCATGCCCAATCCCCAACCCATGCACTGGCTATGCTCGGCCCAGGCCACTTGTGCCAGCACTGGCACACACCTGCTTTGAGGCCACCGCCACACTGCCCATGGCATCCACAGCACCCATAGCACCATGCACCTGGCCAACACCAGCTCCCATGTGCATGCCTCTTCTCCCCACCACCAATCCACTCCTACCAAGGATCCCCTTCCACCCCCCCGCCACTTCGCCCGCAACATGGCCAATCCCCGCTTGCCATGCTGCCACCGCACCCACAGCACCCAAACCACCAGTCCAGTGTCCCGCCAGCAGTGGCCTCCCAGTGTCCTTTGCCCCACAGCAGCTTCAACCAACCGCCCAATACATCCAAACCATCCAGCCCAAAGCCCCTGTCAGTGGCCCAGACATGGGCCCCAAGCTGCCGTCCAAAGCGCCACCCACACACCAGCAGAGCCCCTCCCACACACTCCACCGCACCACGGCCATGACACCGCCACCAGGCAGCACCACACCCAACACACCGGCACCAGACGGCACCACACCCGGCACACCGCCGCCAGACGGCACCACACCCATCACACCGCCAGCAGGCAGCACCACCATCACACCCAAACCCAAGCTCAAATACCCACCCACCCGAAGGCCACAGACAGTGCATGAGGAGGTTCCAATGACACCACCCCCAGCCAAGTCCACCATTTCCACCCCTTTCAGCACCCCTCCAACCCCAATCCCACAACCCAAGACACCACCCACACCACCGCCGCCAACAACCCCACCAGTGGGAGGGATCAACCTGCTCCAACGAGCCCAAACCCCACCAGGATCACCGCCACAATCAGAGGCCAGGTCCAGCTCCAGTGCACCAAAAGCCAAACCTCTCATGCTGCGAGCAAAGTGGGCCTGTCCACCACCGGGGCCACCACCAGCAGAGCCAGTTCCGTGGAGCCAAGGCATTTCAGGAACCAGCCACAGCAAGACCAAGAGCACGGGCTGGAAACATAAGGTTGGCTGGCTAGCCATCTTGCTCCACAACCAGAGATGGACCAGGGCCCAAGAGCTGGCCAGTGTTTTCATCCAAGAGGCCAACGAGCAAGTCGCCACCGGGGCAACCCAACTGGAGACTGCCAGTGGTTCGCCAACATGGTGCCAGAAGTGCCTTTGGCTTTCCACAGCCATTGCCAAGGACGACCATGGACGAGCCCAGAGACAAATCCAGTGGCAGCTCGACCAGATATAGATTCCATAGTTTTCATTCTACAATAACAATAACAGCATGCAGCATAGGCTTGATCCGGAAACCTCCCAATCTTTTTTGTTGCCATTTAAGCCATTCAGTGGTAAAGCCTGCCAACCACTTGGCCCAAGGTACATGGGGGAGCCCAAGTTCGGGGCCTGGGTCCAGGACCAACTGGACCAGATGGAGAGATCTGGGGCCACCACTCCAACGGCCATGCCAGATCGCTACAGAAGTCTCCAGTGACCACAAGGCCAGTGTGTCCATTCACAAAGATGACCCATGCAGTTTGCTCCTGCCAGGACCAAGGACGACCATGGCTTCTTCCAGACAAACCACGTGAAACCACAGCTGCCACAGTGGTCGCTGCCAAAAAGAAAGCTTTCAGTGCTCTGCCATGATCTGCATGCAAGCCAATCGGCCATACCATGCTTTGCGAGCCATGTGGCCAGCACCCTATTTTTCGAAGCAGCCAACTGGCCATGAACACATATTTATACTATATATATATATATCTCTCTCTGAACTTCATTTCAAGTCGCATTCCTTTGTGTTTGTTTCCCATGCTTTCTTCATTGCAGCCTTTTAGGCCATTCAGCCCGACCAGGCCAGTGTGAGCAGCCAGTGCTTCTCAGGGCCATGCAGCGGTACGGGTGCCAAGACTTCGTCGAGGAGATTGCTCATCTCCAGAAGCTGGCCGAGATGCTGCCAGACTCACCAGTCACCGAGAGCATGGCCAACACCTTCATGGCTAAGATCCAGGGATTCCAGTCCTGGTCCTCGGAGAGCATCTGCCAAATGCTTGCCAAGGCCGACGAAGCTTCCAAACTGCCAGAGGCCATGAAAGCAAAGATTCTGGACACCATCCAGAATTTGTCCATGAACACCGGCTCCCAGCTCAAGTTGGTGAACACTGGCCAGTCCGTCCAGCGGCTGTGTCCATACTTGACCAGGCCAGACTGGGTCGCTTTGTCCACCCTCACGAGCCAAACGGACCAGCTGGAGCTCTTAGCCAAAAGACTCCGAGCCATGGGACTGCATTCTTTAAAAGAATGCACCAAGGGCCAAGCGGTCGCCATTGTCTTGATGGTGCAAGCTTCGCAAGGCAAGCCAAGCCTTTCGGCAGCTGCCATCAACTCGGCAGTCCAGGACTTCGGAATCATCTTCCAGTCCCTGCCAAGCAGCAATTGCCCCGGCGCCAGCAGATATCCAGACCATCCATCAGAGATGGGCCAGCTTTGGCTCTCCAAGGCCTATGGTCCAGGCGACCAGCCAGATCTGCAGGACCCATGCCTGGCTCCATTTTTGAAGAAAGCCCCTTGGTTGCATAACTTGGATCTGTTCCGTGTTGCATTTGTTTCTTGCATGCATGTAGACATTTCTACGTCTTCGTCCCCGAGGTGCCTCTTCGAAGCACCCATGCTTCATTGGCCGGCGGCACCAGGTGCAGGTCCAAGCGGCCTCCAGCGACACCTCAGGGCTCCACCTTAAGCTTCGACCAGGAGCTGGAAATGCTGAAGCTGCGGCATGGCATCCAAGCCCAAGCAGCCACACAAGGCACAGCCACTCTGCAGGGAAGCCAAGGGCCCACCGCCGCAGCAACAGCAGTGTTGCCTTGGCTGTCGCCGCGAAGCATGGTCCAGTCCCACAGCCAGAGTGCTGCCAGCACAACTGCCCCTGGCCAGGTCTTTGGCCAGAGCACAGCATCTGCCGCTGCTTTGCCACTTCCTCCGGCAAGCCCGCCTCCTGAAGCCACGACCAGAGTCGAAGCAGCTCCCACGGAGACGACTGCCAAGGAAGACAATGCCAAGCAGGACACGTGTATATTTTTGTTTAGTTTCCTTCCATACTGCTTCTTCGGGGTTGTTCTGCAGCATTTCACCCTGCAAGGACGCCAAGACATTGCAGGAGTACGAGCAGGAGCAGTTCCAGAAGCTGCTGGATGCCAAGGCCGACAAGAAGAAGAAGGCCAAGGAGGACGGCCAGGCCGACCAGAAGCCCAAGAAACAGCATATGAAGCGGCCAGCAGCAGCCATGTCTACCCGACAAAGCTCGGCGAACCAGGGCACCACCTGCAACGGCCATGAGGCTGGCAAAGGTGCCACCGCCGCCAAAGGCGGCAGCACAAAGATCCTCTACGGATGTATCCGCTGTCGTGGTAATGTTAAGGGATGCTCCAGTTGTTGGGACCCAAACTTTCGGGGCACCCGTCTCCACGGCCGCCAAGCTTGGAGGGAGTACATCGAGGCCCACAAAGCCAACAAGGCCATGAAGAAGGCTCCCAAGAAGTAGTGCCAGGCATGGTTCCAGGCAGTTTGTTTTCTTGCAGGGCAGCACCAAGGGGCCCAGGTGCAGGGTAGCAAGAAGCCACAACAGCCCAGGCAGGGTGCACCGTGCCGACACGAGCAAAAAGACCGCCTGCATGTCTTTGGACAAAGTGATTCTTTGAAGCCATGCCGTGGCCATCCTGCAGCATGCTGTTTCTGTGTATATATGCACTTCCGAGGTCTTTGTTGACGCACTGTGCCCGCCATCGCTTCAGCAACGAAGGTTCCAGACTTCTCCCACGAAGAGGTCCATGCATGTGAGTCTGACATCCACAGCCTATATAGACAGGGATGCAGCCTTCATCCATATAGCACACATACCATTGATTCCCATGTGAAGCAAAGCACATTGCCACTGCCCTTGCCCCCAAACCCACTCTCAGCCATTTTTGGCCATGGAACCTCCACAGAAGAAGAGCAAACTGCAGCAGCTGCTGACCTTCAAAGCTGCTTTGCCAGGTCACTCCCAAAGTGCACTGGCTGCTTTTGTGGAAGTCGCCAAGGAACAAGGCCTCCCAGAGAAGAGCTCTTCCAATGACCAGCGGAAAGCCAGGGAGGAGCTTCTACAGAGCTGCCATGGTGGGCTACTGGGTCCTTTGATCCAAGAAGCAGAGGTCACCACCGATGCTGGTGCCAAAGTCACCATGTACTTTGCCAACCTCTTGGTTTACCTGGCCAGTCTTTTCCAGATGGGTGGAAGCTTCCATGATCTGATCCAAAGGAAGCACCGAGCCAACCCATCATCCGTCTCCAAGCCATGGCAACTTATACTTTATGCAGATGAGGTGATACCAGGAAACGTCTTAGGACCTGCCCAACGTAAATTTTGGGCCATTTATGCCAGCTTCAGGGAGATGGACCAATTCCTCCACCACGAGGACCTCTGGCTGACCATCTCTCTTGAAAGGTCCAACTTCGTGAGCCATGTCCAGGGCGGCATCTGCCAGATCATGTCCAAGATCTTGGAAACCATTTTCGCCAATGCCCACGTGGAACCATTGGCAGGGTTTGTGTTGAAATCCCCACATGGCCCAGGTTCCGATGTCCGGCTCCATTTCCGGTGGGCCATATGTCTGGCAGACGGCGGTGCCCATAAGCAGATTTGGTCTTCCAAAGGTGATTCTGGTACCAAATTTTGCATATTATGCGCCAACATCCACTCAGGACCACCCACAGGCGACAACCACGACATCATGGACCACCGCACGACCAAATACAGCCAATTGGTTTTGACCACTGATGAAGACGTCATCCAGTCCTACCGCAGATTAGACGAAAGGCGAGCCACGTGCAGGACCAAAGCAGAATTCTCGCAATGGCAACAAGCCACCGGTTGGACCTGGAATCCCCAGGCCTTGCTCCTGAACCAGACTTTGTTGGCGAAGAACCAAGTGAAGCCAGTCAGCCAGTTCTGCCATGACTGGATGCACGGCATTCTGCAAGGAACGGCCCCAGTCGTGCTGTTCCAGAGCTTCCAAGCCATCTCCGAGCACTACAACATTTGGGAGGCCATGGGCCCATACATAAGGATGTGGAACTTTCCAGGTGCTTCCAAGGCCGGTCACTTGGCTGGTTTGTTCGACACAAGCAAGGTCGCCAAGTACAAGAGCAGCCAGAAGTTCAGTTGCCAAGCTTCGGACCTCCTAGGGCTTTATCCAATCATTCGCCATTTTTTGCATTCTGTTGTTGTGTCAAGCGGAATCTGCCCAGAGGCTTGCCAAGCTTTCTTGAGCCAGGCCTGCTTGATCGACCAGGTTCACCAAGGGGTCATGTATGGAGCCACCACCAGAGCCAGCCTTCTCAGGGCTGCGGAAGAATCCATCGAGACCTTCCAACAGGCCAACTTCGACGTGCCACTGATGCGGAAGTGGCACTGGCTGCTCCACTTGCCTGATATTCTCCAACGGCATGGGTGCCTGCCATCGACATTTACGAGCGAACGAAAGCACAAAACCATATCTGCTTTCGCCACAAGGCTCCAGAAAACAGCCGCCTTCGAGATCCACTTGCTCAACCAGGTGCTCGCCACCGAGATCACCACTTTGACACAGGCCGGGCTGTTTCCAGACTCCTGCCAGTTGGTGAAGCCAAAGAAGCCCAACAAGCACCAGCTGCAATTCCTCAACCAGTTTGTGGATTGCTCAGCAACTGAAGCCATGGTTGCCTCTATCGCGAGGCTCGCAAGGGGTGGTGCCATCCATGCCAACGACGTCGTGGTGTTCCACCAGGAAGACGGAAGATGGGACATGGGCCAAGTGCTTTTCCATTTGGAGCTTGGAGGCGACAAAGCCACACTCGTCCAACGTTGGAGGCCAACAGAGACACAGAAGACAAAGCAGTTCGCCAAGTGCTCCATCACCAACGAGCAAGGCTTCGTGTCCATGGACTCCTTGCTGTACCCAATGGTGTACAGCAAGACCACAGAGAGGGAGGCCACTGTGCCAGCTGTACCACAGGCTTTGAAAAACAGTGCTTCTCAATCCGCCACAAGGCTGTACCACATGCACATGACATTTTTAGCCCTATAGGCCATGCACGACAGCCTGTCCATGCAGGCCATTGACATGTATTTTTGCTTTAAATTTGTTTGACAAGCTACATGTTTTATATATTTCATTTCCGATACCAGTGTTTATGCTCCATGAAGTGTCTTCTCATATCAGAGTCCCTAGCCTAAACCTCAATGCCAAAACACACAAGTTACTTCTACAATTTTGATGTCTATAACATAAGCTAACTCCACCTAACTTTTTAGCTAACTAACATAATTATGTTAACCACTTATAAAACAACCAGGATTCCAAGTAATCCACGGACCGGCAGGAGTTATAGTCAGGCGCGCATGGTTGGGGCAAGGGTCGCCCTTTTCTCAGTGTGCCCACTTAAAGCCTTAAAATCCACGGCTGCAATTTCTTGCCGATGTCGTTGTGGATGACGTGCTGTGGCCCTAGACTTTGGTGCATTGTTGGGGTCTCTCTCTCTCTCTCTCTCTCTCTCTCTCTCTCTCTCTTTCGCTTACTGTCTCCTAAGCCGAGCTTGCTACAGGATGCCACGGGGTTGCTGTCTCTTTCTCCGTCTCTCGACCCCTTGTTGTGGTATTGCCCTTCGTTGCAAATCGTTTCGCTTCCTCTTATGAACTGTGCATTTGAGCGCAGCCTCTCATCCAAGGTAAAGTGCTTCTGCCAGAAGTCCGCTGCTGGACCGCCAGTTCGTTCATCGCGGATTCGAGAGCTTTCAGACCTCGGCCGCTGAATCGAGATAATGACAACATAGATGTGGCGATTTTTCGCTTCTGGGGCAAGCCGCACGAAGAACTCACCATACGGATCTTGTAGCTGGCCCTCATAGACCCACAGCGACACCATATCAAAGTATGGCCGTGAAGCCTCCAGTGCACAGGGAGCATCTGGAGGTGGCAGCAATTTGACATGGCCATGTCAGATCAGACGGACTCGAAACTAGGGCACTAGGAGACCCAGCTGCCTGCTGCAGCAAGTGTTCACATAGATCTTGAGCTGTAGCAAGACCGGTCTTCGTCATCACTTCTTCGATTCCTCAGTCAGACGACATCATGGGAACATGCCCTAATTCGGAGGACTCTTGATGCACCCACAACAAATTAACTGCCTCGCAGCTGCCATTCAAGACAGCTCCACCCAGTTGGCCAAACACATGTGCTGTAATTCGATGCCTTAGAAGTTAGAAGACAAACCCATGGCGAAAACCCAGCCGAGACTTCCAAAAGGTCCGCTTACAGCATTGCCGCAAACAAGGCCGGGTGGTTGTGTAGAAAAGTCTCGTCGTTGTGTCGAAACGAATTTCTTGGACAGCGGTTTCACGAGACTCTACCGGATTTCAATTTACAGCCTGGGGCGCTTGAGGAGCGATCTGCTGCGTGTGCTTGCAGTCTGGGGATGGGTGAGGCGAGGCCAAGATTTGTCCACAGGAAGCCCAAACACCACTGGACGGCAAAGGCCTTGCAGTTGTTTGCAGGCTTGCCATATTGCGGGCAAGCGAGCATTTCGCCGTTCCTCTAAGCTTCAATAGCCGGCGCCGTTTTCCAGTTTGAGACATTGAGTGTGAGCGATCTCTGTTTGGGTCGGCAGCGGCATCGCTTTCGTCAGAGTGCCTGTTCCGAACTAGCATCAGTTGACGCCAACTAGGCTTCGCCTCACCGACACTGAGTGAGCACTTTGCAGTTCAGCTCGGTGTTCGACAATTCGCTCCAAGCTGTCTTTTTGTCAAAAGGCAGTCTTTCACCCAAGCCCCAGCCGGGGATCTGGTCTCCCCTGCCCAGCTGTGACGATGCTTCACAAGGGCCCAAACAAGCTTCTGCTGGAGTTTTAGCCCCGGGAGGCCCTGTACTGTACTGATCAACAGTAAACCGCTCTGAGGGGATTTCGCATTAACAACATCCTGCAAACGCACCACGCCTGCACCCTCCCACTCCACCAAGCTGCAAGAGGGCAAAGGTGTCCATGGAAGCCTGGGATTGGTACCACAACTCTGCCAAGCTCAGTTCGCCAGCGCGAAAGGCCGCTTCCCACCGAGCCACCTGTCACAGGTGCAGTGCCGAATGTGAAGCACAGCTGCCTGTTCCGAGGGCTCGCTGGCCCGAAACTTACATTCCCGGAAAACTCACTCGCCAGGCCACCGATTGTTTCATGTCAGAAGCCCCACAGCCCCACAATATCCCGTCAGATGCAGTGAAGAGGAGCTTTGAAGACACTAGTCTAATCAGGCGCAATTACGGAGACCTTTAGGGATCGCCCCAGGGCAGAGAGTTGGGATGTATAATAATAACTACCGACTTCACCTGGATCGAAGCTCTCTCTCTCTCTCTCTCTCCTCTTTCTTCCTTCCTTCCTCTTCTTCCTGTTGGGCTTAGTGGTCGTCTGCGCGATCCTGAAGTCTTCGGCCCGCCCACCCCCTGCTATATCATGGAGAGGACGGCTTTGGGGTCTCAATGCACTCGGCAACGACTACACAGCCTCCCCCGGTTTGCAGGGCTCATGACCCCACTTGCAAACTAAATACATCGAAGCTTCACTCTCTCTTCTCTTTCTCTTTCTCTCTCTCTTCCTTCTTTCTTTCTTTCTGTCTCTCTCTCGACTCGATCTGTCTCGCAGAGTTTATTTTTAGTGTGCGTACGGCCATCTCAGCATCCGCAACCTTACGACCTTACGATTGCAAGAACGAGTGGATGTACTCGATTGCAAGAACGAGTGGATGTACTCGAAGGTGCGGTCCTTTCCCTCTCAGAGTGTACATTTTGGGATTATCCCAGCATCCGACTCTTGACGATGGCAAGAGCGAGTGTGTACTAGAACGTGTGAGTTTAAGTTGGCTGCAACAAACGCAGCTAGCAAGGGCCGCTGGACGTTGGACTGCAGGCACTGCCCGGGAACTGCAGGCTGAACGGAGGACTGCAGGGTCTGCGGCCTGCCAAAAGAAGGGCTTAGAGTAGCTACACAAGACCTTCATATATAATGTTTCTATCATCGGGATATCGGTTTCAAGGTTTTGGGGGAGCAGGGGAGGAGGGGTAATAAGAGGGAGGGATGGTGATGATGATGATGATGATGAGGATGATGATGATGATAATGATGATGGTGATAATGGCGATGATGATGATGATGATGAAACATGAATGAATGATGATGACGATGATGATCACGACATCACGACTGTGCAATCAGTCACAGGCATTGATCGCTTAGGGTCGCGATCCTCGCGACCATCGTCGTTTTATGGATCTTTATATTGCCGCGGGAGCAGAGAACCCAGCCCACGCATATCCACAGGGGGAAGGGGACTTGAAGCCAAAAGGACATGCTCACAGCACAAACCCACCCGTCCGTAGGGGGGATTGCTCGACCCTTGTAGGACACCGACACCCAAAAACCACTTGCCCACAAATAGAAATCCCAAACCCTGTCCGCACGCGGTGGTCAGAGGGGGGCTGCTGGTCGCCGGAAAATTCGGTAACCAGAACGGCTGATTCAGAAACCAGCCATGATTTAGGAACCAGCCATGATTCAGAAACTGGAAACGGAAAATTCGGAAACCGGAAAACCTGATTCGGAAACTGGAAAGCCTGATTCGGAAACTAGACCTTGATTCGGAAACCAAAAGGACTGATTCAGCAACGATGGCCGGAAACCAGACGCTTACACTTAGGCCTTACTAGCTCAACATGGTCGGATAGGACGACAATGCCATAATTGCCCTGTGGACCATGAACGTCATTGGGCTTTGGGCATGGATGCTGTGTTCCCAAATCGCAGTAGACGATGGACGTCATCAGGCTTTGGACATGGATGCTCTCTTCCCAAATCGCAGTAGACCATGGGCGTCATTAAGTTTTGGACATGGATGCTCTTGTCCCAAATCGCAGTAGAGCATGGACGTCATTAGGTTTTGGACATGGATGCTCTTTTCCCAAATCGCAGTAAGCCATGGACGTCATTAGGCTTCGGACATGAATGCTCTTTTCCCAAATCGCAGTAGACCATGGACATCACTAGGTTTTCGACATGGATGCTCTTTTCCCAAATCGCAGTAGACCATGGACGTCATCAGGCTTTTGACATGGATGATCTGTTCCCAAATCGCAGTAGACCATGGACGTCATTAGGCTTTGGACCTGGATGCTCTTTTCCCAAATCGCAGGAGACCATGGACGTCATTAGGCTTTGGACATGGATGCTCTTTTCCCATGGACGTCATTAGGTTTTGGACATGGAAGCTCTTTTCCCAATTCGCAGTAGACCATGGACGTCATTAGGTCTTGGGCATGGATGCCGCCGTAGACCATGGACATCATTAGGCTTTGGACATGGATGCTCTTTTCCCAAATCGCAGTAGACCATGGACGTCATTAGGTTTTGGACATGGATGCTCTTTTCCCAAATCGCGGTAGACCATGGACGTCATTAGGTCTTGGGCATGGATGCCGCCGTTGACCATGGACATCATTAGGCTTCGGACATGGATGCTCTTTTCCCAAATCGCAGTAGACCATGGACGTCATTAGGCTTTGGGCATGAATGCTCTGCTCCCAAATCGCAATAGACCATGGACGTCATCATTCTTTGGACATGGATGCTTTTTTAAACCATGGACGTCATTAGGCTTTGGGCATGGATGCTCTGCTCCCAAATCACAGAAGACCATGGACGTCATCATGCTTTGGACATGGATGCTCTTTTCCCAAATCGCAGTAGACCATGGACGTCATCAGGTTTTGGACATGCATTTTTTTTTTGCAAATCGCAGTAGACCATGGACGTCATTAGGCTTCGGACATGGATGCTCTTGTCCCAAATCGCAGTGGACCATGGACGTCATAAGGCTTTGGACATGGATGCTCTTTTCCCAAATCGCAGTAGACCATGGACGTCATTAGGCTTTGGACATGGATGCTGTTTTCCCAATTCGCAGTAGACCATGGACATCATTAGGCTTTGGGCATGGATGCTCTTTTCCCAAATCGCAGTAGGCCATGGACGTCATCAGGCTTTGGACATGGATGCTCTCTTCCCAAATCGCAGTAGACCATGGGCGTCATTAAGTGTTGGACATGGATGCTCTTGTCCCAAATCGCAGTAGACCATGGACGTCATTAGGTATTGGACATGGATGCTCTTTTCCCAAATCGCAGTAGGCCATGGACGTCATTAGGTTTCGGACATGAATGCTCTTTTCCCAAATCGCAGTAGACCATGGACATCACTAGGTTTTCGACATGGATGCTTTTTTTCCAAATCGCAGTAGACCATGGACGTCATCAGGCTTTGGACATGGATGATCTGTTCCCAAATCGCAGTAGACCATGGACGTCATTAGGCTTTGGACATGGATGCTCTTTTCCCAAATCGCAGGAGACCATGGACGTCATTAGGCTTTGGACATGGATGCTCTTTTCCCATGGACGTCATTAGGTTTTGGACATGGAAGCTCTTTTCCCAATTCGCAGTAGACCATGGACGTCATTAGGTCTTGGGCATGGATGCCGCCGTAGACCATGGACATCATTAGGCTTTGGACATGGATGCTCTTTTCCCAAATCGCAGTAGACCATGGACGTCATTAGGTTTTGGACATGGATGCTCTTTTCGCAAATCGCGGTAGACCATGGACGTCATTAGGTCTTGGGCATGGATGCCGCCGTTGACCAGGGACGTCATTAGGCTTCGGACATGGATGCTCTTGTCCCAAATCGCAGTAGACCATGGACGTCATTAGGCTTTGGACATGGATGCTCTTTTCCCAAATCGCAGGAGACCATGGACGTCATTAAGCTTTGGACATGGATGCTGTTTTCCCAAATCGCAGTAGACCATGGACGTCATTAGGCTTTGGACATGGATGCTCTTTTCCCAAATCGCAGTAGACCATGGACGTCATTAGGCTTTGGGCATGAATGCTCTGCTCCCAAATCGCAATAGACCATGGACGTCATCATTCTTTGGACATGGATGCTTTTTTAAACCATGGACGTCATTAGGCTTTGGGCATGGATGCTCTGCTCCCAAATCACAGAAGACCATGGACGTCATCATGCTTTGGACATGGATGCTCTTTTCCCAAATCGCAGTAGACCATGGACGTCATCAGGTTTTGGACATGCATTCTCTTTTCCCAATCGCAGTAGACCATGGACGTCATTAGGCTTCGGACATGGATGCTCTTGTCCCAAATCGCAGTGGACCATGGACGTCATAAGGCTTTGGACATGGATGCTGTTTTCCCAAATCGCAGTAGACCATGGACATCATTAGGCTTTGGGCATGGATGCTCTTTTCCCAAATCGCAGTAGACCATGGACGTCATCAGGCTTCGGACATGGATGCTCTTTTCCCAAATCGCAGTAGACCATGGACGTCATTAGGCTTGGACATGGATGCTCTGTTCCCAAATCGCAGTAGACCATGGACGTCATTAGGCTTTGGACATGGATGCTCTGTTCCCAAATTACGCAGTTGCCGAAGAGCAGTTTCTGAAGTGCGGTAGTTTCTGAAGCGCGGTTTCTGAAGCGCAGTTTCTGAAGCGCGGCAGTTTCTGAAGCGCAGTTTCGGGCCCAGTTTCTGAAGCACGACCAGTTGCTGAAGCGCAGTTTCTGAAGCGCAGTTTCTGAATCAAGCGCCAGTTTCTGAATCATCGGTTGTTCGGGGCCGGAGTGTCATGTTTTTGCTTCCGGTTTCTGTGAGGTCACGCGGCATAACAGCTGTGGCATGTCGTGAGGCCCACATGCCGGCTCCACCTTGCTGGCAAACTCTTTCAGCAGATCTCGCAGTGCTGCGCACAATGCGTGGTTGACCGTGCCTAAGAACCAGAAGACACACGCACACGGGCTGGACAGCAAGGATGCACAAGGCGATTTACGTGCGAGGACAAGCCAAACAAGCATGTCTGCGAGCAAGATGCCGTACTCATACTTGCTGTGCTGACGAACGAATTGTTGTACGCACGCATGGTGATTGCACAGAGGCAATAGCTGCTGAACGAACTGGGCAGTGGAAGTATCGGCACCTGCGCGATGTGGTCAGTACATCAGCTTTCACGGTGTGGCAATCGGCAATCCTGAGGCATCGTGGGCTCTTACGCGCCTGCGGGCACCTCCACCTCAAAGATGGGCTCCGTGGAGCTGGAGCTCTGTCGAATGAATGTGCCTTCGAAGCCTGGGCGACGACCACTACATCTGCTCGGTCTAGATGCGACGTCGATCATGAAAATCGGCCTTGTAAAGAATAGAGCAAGTCATCCAACAGCAAGTGCTCCTGCGGCCAAGATGGGGGCCTGCATTTCTGTTCTGGCTGGTGCTGGGGCGTTCTTGGGCTCAGGCCTGCTCTTCGAAAGTCTTTTGACTGAAAAGCTCGCCCTCTGCTTCAGGCCCCAGTAGCGGTGGCGGTGGCGAAGGCTGCGAAAGACTCGCAAGTTCCGGGCTGAAAGGGATTCCGGCCCTCACCTCAGCTCAGGCACGAGACGAAGCGTCCACGATGAGTCTAAACGGCTGAGAGCCCCGCAATACGAAAGCGAAGATCCGGCACACGAGCATCTCGCCCCTGATTAACACCACCCGGTGCGGCACACGCATCGCGGCATTGCACTTGGCACGGCTACGCAACATCATGGCATTTCCTAGGCGAGCTCGAGCAGCGAGCTCTCTACACAGCCACTGTTACTTCCACTAATCATGCTTCTTCTGGGCTGCCTGCTCCTTATATAGGATGCTGGAAGCATGTGACGGATGGGACCTTGCAAACCAAGGCTTTTCCAGATCTCCGTGCTGGGGACACCGCAGTACCTGGCGAATATTTTTGTGTCTCGGCACTCGGAAGATTACCGTGTCTGCAACGGGGCACCCCAAAGCGAGCGGCCCGCAGCAAGACAATCGTGGTATTTGCCACGGAGAAGCAGCGGCATGTCGCACCTGGGGGCTGTCAGACGTCGCAGCCGTGCTGCAGGATGTGGCTTCTCTTTGGGATCATGGCTGTACTGGCTTGCCCGACATCTCTCCGTCGGCATGGACGAGGGTCCATTTGCATGCATCCGTGACCTCCAGGAAGAACATGCTCATGCCAAGCGAGGCTCTGTCGCAGTTGTGACCACCTCCCCCGGTGTCACCCTTCGAATTACTGGCTCCATGTCGCTGTTCAAGTTCGGCTCCAAAGCTAAGTATGCAAAGCGGTCCTGTGCAGGTGAAAGGCTTGATGGAGAATCGAGTCTGAGGAACAACTCTCCAAGCAACGGTCACAGGTCCTTCCGCTTTTCAATTCGCAGCTCTCGTGCGAAGCATACTTCATCCCCCAGGTAAACGATTCCGCGGTGCTTCTGGCTGCTAAACCTGGAAGTGGCACGTGTAGCTTCAGCGCAAAAACAGGACAGCTATCTGAAAATCGTGCAGGTGGGTGGCTGCAGTAGTACCCACTCTGATGGGCAGTCGGCCCCACGATCGGATGCATCACCCTTGGCGCTTCAACTCCAATGCAAAGAGTGTCTCGGTCGTTGCGCTCTCATCTGAAGGTTGCCTGTCGCAGTGGGTGGAATCCCGAAACCTGGGCAAGCTTGAGGGCGAGAAGTCCAACGAAACCGGGATCTGACTGATTCATTGCTCACTTGCCAGGTGTAAGCTGGGCACATCCAGATCAAAGCCACCTGGCCAAGACATTGACTGTGTTACATGAGTGAAACTTGATGAAGCCTCAGCGGGACTCCTCATGCGCTAACCCTGCTTCTTTAAGCTGACGACACAACGTAAATAGTTTGAGACAGAAAGACTTTGTACTTGAAAAGTACAGCTTTGCGATACGTGGAACTTAGCGACTTAGTGCACTTTGCGCCTGGAGCCGCTGGAGACAAGGGGCTTGCATGACAGAAGACCAATTAAAACCAAGGACCAAAGAACTGCGTGTCTGTTCTTGACTTCTGACTCATGCAGACTCAGCAACATTTCAATCCGCCTTCCGCTGCATAGGCTGCCACATAGCGTTGCTCCGCGCAAGATCTACAGGCCCATCACGAATGCGCCAGACGAAACCACTTGTGCCAGCAGTTGGCAGCTGTGCCTTATGCCCACTCGCGATCCATAAAGAAGACTTGCTGGAGCCACACCTCCAACACCAGACGCTTAGAAAAGCGCAAGAAACACTAGCGCGAAAGCGAGCGGTGCTAGGACTGGAATCCTCAATTTTCATCCTATGGCACACCCAAACAAGACGCATCTCTGCGGCCTGTGGTCACTGTTGTTGGTCCTGAAGCAAACAAAGTGTGAGAGCTGCATCATGGGAGTTTGCGTGATCTCTTGCCGTCCTTGTCCGGAGCTTGCAAGCACACGGCGTGGTGGAGCAAACTCCTTTCCAACCACAGAAGAAACATTGTAGCCTGCACTGTAGCAGCTGGCCTGGTGGCGATCAACAGCTGGCATAAGTCACTAACCATGGCATGCCGCAGGCCCTGAGCCGGGTCAGATTCGTCCTGGTTGATTGCAGCGAGACTTGAATCAGTAGGAGCCTGTGCAAACTTTAGGTGCCCATGCTTGCAGCGTGCAGGTACTACGAAAAATGCACAATAACGGAGCATTGTTCTACAAATACTGTTCATGCATTGTTCCCGAGATGCTCTTAACCAGTTTGCTTATGTGCTTAGGTAGGTGTCGAGTTCAGGTTTCCGAAGCTATAGTTCACGCTTGAGCCGTCAATTAGCTCCGGCATCTCTGTGAAGCCCTCGGGCTCCAAGAGTGCGCAGAGCGGAGCCAAAGCGGCCGATGGGCAGAGATGACGCCCAGGGCTGGCGCTTGGCCTGGACCGCTGGCACCGGCGCCAGGCGTAAAACGCGTTGCAGAGCCACATAGGGATTTTCGTCTACTTGCAGGGAGAATTCCGACTTATCCCCAGAATGAAGATGTCCGGTTCCTCCTTTGGTTTGCTCTCTCATTGTCCGCTCTTTGTGGCATCTCCGCACATGGGCTGTTCGCCTGAGACCGCCATCCAAGCAAGCCAAGCGTATGGCAATAGCACAACGAGTCGATGATAGAGAGAGAGAGAGAGAGACAGACAGAGAGGGGGAGAGAGAGAGAGAGCGAAAGAGAGAAAGACAGAGAGATGCAGCTAAACCGTGACCATAGTCGTGCACCCTCTCCATCTTTCGAGCTTGGGCTTGAATGGGACGTGACACTGTGCATTCCGATCCCGGGCGAAGCGACAAGAAAAATGTGTGTGCATGTGTGTTGTTTTTGTGTTTGTTTGTGTGCGTCTGTGAGTCTGCTTGCGCAGTTTCTCTTTCGGATCTGCCGTCGAAACTCGCATGTTGGGATGATGCAAGAAACTTCGTCGCACGCGTGAGTGCAACACGCGTGTGTGTGGGTGAGGATATATGCAGCTGATCACTTTTCCATTTCCAGCATACAAGGTTGTGGAACTGAGAACTCACACAATTTCGTTCGCCGAGAGCACACAGAGTGGGAGGAAGGATTCTCGGCCATGGATACTGACCTGTTCTGGGAAGCCCCGATCGCTGGCATAGCGGCACAGCTTGCGACATTTTGCTCCTCCTGGCTGGCCAAGACATCTTGAGCCCAGTCTCAAGGCTCAGCTCTGCGCCGGATTCGTCATTTCACGCGAAAGCCTGAAAGCAGACACTGTTCGTCCCTCAATCACGACTCGATCTGAACTGCGAGATGCACGGAGCCTGAGATGAGAGGTCCTGGACAACGCAGTGCCGATCCCCAGGCCGCAAGCTGAAACCTCTCCCCCGAACTTGCAGCACATCGGCTGGAGGCGGTCCTGAAATTGGGCTTTCATCTTGACCTGGAGCAACGTCCACCTTGGTCGCAAAGTTTTAGAAGCTTGAAGTGAGATTCTGGCTGTCGTGACCTGAGGCACTCGCATCTGATGCAAGTCCTGGACTATCGTGGACTGAGGTTCCTCAGTGGAGCTCGGCTCGTCGGGTCTGCAGCGATTTCCGCGGCCAAGGCAGCCATGGATCTGCATCAAGCAGCCGCAGTGAGCCAGGCTGCTCGTGCAACCTGGAGCTAAAGAACGTCGTGAGTGAGAGTGAGGCTTCAGATTCCTTTCTTCACACCCTCAAAGAACTCTACCTTGCCTGCAGAGCGTACGCCGGGTAACCCCTATCCCCCCCGGTGGGGTTGCTGACGGGCGGGTTGTTGACGGGAGGAGGGGCGGACCCGACCAGAGGGGGGGTAGTTAAATAGATAGTATCTGACGGGCGGAAACCTGCAACCTGCCGGCGGAAACCTCAAACCTCTAACCTGTGGGTACCTGACGGAGATAGATAGTATCTGACGGGCGCAAACCTCCAACCTCTAAACAGAGAGTATCCGACGGGGGGGGGGGGTTATTAGATAGATAGTTAGTATCTGACGGGCGGAAACCTGCAACCTGCCGGCGGAAACCTCTAACCTCTATCCCGTGGCTACCTGACGGAGATAGATACTGTAGTATCTGACGGGCGGAAACCTCTAACCTCTAACCCGTGGGTACAGAGGTTGGACGGGTAGCTGACGGGCAGAGATTGCTGACGGGCGGAGCTGACGCGCGGAGGGAGGATAGCTGACGGGCGGAGGTTGCTCACGGGCGGAGGTTGCTGACGCGCGGAGGGTGGGTAGCTGACGGGCGGAGGTTGCTGACGGGCGGAGGTAGCTGACGCGCGGAGGGAGGATAGCTGACGGGCGGAGGTTGCTCACGGGCGGAGGTTGCTGACGCGCGGAGGGTGGGTAGCTGACGGGCGGAGGTTACTGACGGGCGGAGGTTGCTGACGCGCAGAGGTTGCTGACTCGCGGAGGGTGGGTAGCTGACGGGTGGAGGTTGCTGACGGGCGGAGGGTGGGTGGCTGACGGGCGAGGTTGGACGGAAACCTCTAACTCGAGGGTATCTGACGGAGATAGATAGTATCTGACGGTCGGAAACCTCTAACCTCTAACCAGCAGGTAACCGAAGGGGATTAGAGTAAGAGGTTAGGTGAGGTACATGATGCTTGCCTGGCAACTCCGAGGTATTCAACCAAAGTTGACGATTCATGCGACTCCTGTTCGTCACAGAACCATGTGTCAGCCAACATACAGCCGGGGTTGGTTCCGTGTCAGCCTTTGGCTGCTGGCGCCTACTGTCGACAGGGTGTGGACCACATGGACATCACTACTGGTAGTCGCTGGCCAAACCGTGGTCTCTGGGTGACTCTGGTCTCCGTGTCGGGAGAAGGGTCACACTTGGGCCTGTGCGCTGCAGTTTACCGAGGCGAAGCACCCCCAAATTTCTCACTTGTGGACACGTGATCGGACCGTGTCAAGGGCGTGTGCCAGCCAGAGGAAGGGATTTTTATGGCGGTTCATACAATCAGTTTCGGTCCGCGACCCTTCGGCCGCCCCGTGCCAAGAGCTGGATGGAGAGTCGAGTGTTTTTTTAAATGGCCCGGCTATCCCGAAAGTATAGACAAAACTCACAAAACGACTTCCTGTCAAGAAAGGCACGACAAATAGACGGCGGCAAGCTTTTTCGACGACATAGCTACACATATTGCTGACAAAACTTAAAACTATCACGGCCGTTTGCAACTCGGGGGCCAGATTCACGCGATGACATTCTTGGCTTAGATTGACAAAGGCCAAATCTACTTCATATTCTGATGTGGCCTACGGTAAACCATAATTCTGATGGGTCTCTGACGGCACTTCTCGAACGCGACATCCACTGAGCAGGTGTAGACAACTTGGAACTCTAGTAAGCCAAAGTGTTCTGGCGGAACATCTGCCAGCCCTTTCGGCTTTGGATTTCCAGTCATGATTCATGTCATAGTGCGCATCTCGCTTTGAAGAGACCTGTGAGAACACGACTAGTGCAGATCCTAAACTATTGAAGGAGTGATAGTCCGCCAAGAATAGAACTCGAAGAACTTCCTCTCTAATTTCGGTACAGCATGCTGACCGTCAAGGCGCCGGGAGCGAAGGCCGCACGTCCGCTTGACGGAGCTAGGTCACGGGGTCATTCCGGGAGCCCACGGTCAGCTGTGCTTACAAAGCCTATCGTCATCTATTGTGCTGGTACGGCGAAGATGGACGCTTGAGTCCTGTCGGAAAATCTGCGGACATGGACGTGACATGCCGCCGCTACAGATTCCAAGCGGCGGTCTACCGGAGACTGCAGCTTCAGAGCCGGTCGATGCTGTGATGTCGGTGTCGGAACACGAAAGCAAAAAGCGGTCGGGTCTGAGGAGTCGCATGACGTTAAAGAAATGCCACGGGCCTCATGGCAGCGCCGCGCGGGACACCCCGCCGGGGACGTGGGGAGCGACGTGGGGACGCAAGGCTGAGCACCGTGCGACGAGGTGGACACATGTCGGGGGATGCCACCGGGCACTGCTTCAAGCATCTGTGTCTCCGAGTGTCAGTAATGGCTTCAACGCTCTGCAGCCAAGCAGCTCCAAACTCAAGTCGCGAGGTAGTCTCGCAAATCGGCTGAATACCGGAGTGAGTTCGAAGCAGTTCTCGAAGAGCGAAAACCTGCAAGCGCTCCACTGCTCAAGCGACCACTTCTTGGAACAACTCAAAGCGGTTCACTGGGACTGCCTGCCAAACACGTAGAGCCCGAAGCGAGCTCTACTCATCGTGACGATCAGCCGTCTGACATCGCGGAGGTGCCCCACGTGCTTTGTTCGCACCAACGAGACCTCGGCACGAACCCCGAGGTGGACGGTCTGGGGTCATGTCCCCGCGATGATATGCTTATTGTGTGCAGTTGGCAGCCTTGAGCAGTCGGGGCCAGAGAAAGCAGCGTGACACGGCCCTACCGGCTATGAGCTCTGGCGTTTCGTATGTAGTGCATACTCAACGAAGTTGGGCCTTTGAGGCCATCTTGGAACGTGTCGCTTCGTGCTACGGAGGCTGGCTCCTGAAAGGGTATGCAGCTTGCTCAGTGAAGCGGAATGGCTTATCCACCTTGTGATTATCGAATACGTTCGCCATGCTTTCGAGTGCATAGCGTTGCTTGCATCATGTGCATCACTCAACATCGCCGTCGGAGTGAAAAGTCGATTCCGAACACCACGCTGTGGACTGGTTCTGGACCGTGCTGTCAAGCGCCGCATGGCAAAGCTCAAGCCAAATGCTCTCAGCTGAATTCAACGTCCAAGTTGCTATGATGAAATCATTTTGCTGTCCCTGAAACTTGTCCACCGTCGTAATTTTGGCCTCGGCGGGCCGCAGTTCTCGACAAAGGGCACATGTGAGTGGTGCTTTTCTTGGCCAAACGGCAGGCTCTCCAAACAGCGGATTCCATGAGCACCGTGTCCTGACCACATCTCTCAGCAAGGCCTCGGACGGGCGCCATCACTGCCGGAACGGACCCTAATCTGCCGACTCTGCCTTCTGGCCATTGTAGGTCGAGAGGATGGAGATCTTCTGAGCGGGGATTCCACAAAGGCGCCTCCAGCTCAGCTCGGAGGACGAGTGCCTTGCCTTTCACTCTCTTCATAACTAGTCGCAGCAAAGAACTGACTGAGGCGCCGGCATATACATAAAGAGCGCTACGCAATACTCAGCTTCTCCCAAATTTTGAAAGAAGTACGGCGTTGGTTGTGATTCTCCGCGGCCTTCGAAGTCTTCAACGTTGACGAACTGATACCTTGGCCGAGCAAGTGCAGCTCGATGCAGCGAAAGCCAAGCACCGTGCCTGAAACATCCTGAAACCCGTTTCAGGCTGGAAGTTCGCATGGCATGAGCCAGCACGGAGCTGCAAAGTGCGGCGTGGAAGCAGTCACTTTGTGTGGTCAGGTCAGCCTCTGCTACCCCGTTCCTTCAGCCGTCGGATCTCCACAAGGGCAATGCGCGGCGCCGCATCTGCTCCAACTGCGATGGTCTGACAAAGGGTTCCGTCTCTTCTTACTCTCTGCTTTAAGCTGGCCTTTAGGAGCTCTGGCCGTGGCATGGCGCTGCCTTTCGACCTACGTCGCTTTTCTGCTAGCCACAATCCGGTGATGTTCGTGGACGTTCCTCAAGACAGTGGCGTGGCGCGCATTTTGCATCAGAGCAGTTCTTGCGACAGGGTCCATTCCATTCCGCAATTCTCTTTGCATAGACTTGTAGAGAACACAGGCGACATGGTTTTGCCCTGAAATGCTAGCCGTTGCCGTCGTTCGGCCTAATGCCTCTGTCCGAGCATGCGACGAAGTACAAGTCATGTCTGTACCGGTCTGTACCCCAACATGTGCTCAGAAAACGAACATGCCTCACGCTATGGCAACCCAACCCTTAGGTAAAATAATTAATACACATATTTGTGCACCATCCATCGCCAGCGCATTGATTATCCCAATCACGAACTTGTCCCGCGCTGGTTCTGTAATTTGTCTCTTGTTTCAGACATCTACGTCAATCAAACGCATAGCCTACATAGCACTGTCAAAAGGAAAATGAACATCTTCTGTTGTCGAAAGAGTTTCCGATTCGTGCTTCAACACGTTCGAGACGCATGGCAATCTAGCTACGGCTGCTCCCAAGCTGGACAGCAAAGCACGGTGATACAGGCTGCCAGTACCATTCTATAATGTCGCCGTGGCACACATAAGTTAGTCCCGGGTTCGCATACCGGTACCTGGTGGCCGCCCCGTTGCTGCAGCCATTGCGCGCAGAAGCAAATCTCTTCAACCGTGGTTCATCAGCCCTGTGCGCACCTGTCGTCCGTTAGGACATTCGGCAGATTGCCAAGGTCTTTGTAACGCCAACTGTAGAGCTCGGCGATGTTGGGCCTTCCAATATGCTCCCATTTTGGTCTCTCTCCCTAGCTGAAAGCCGATGAAAGCTGGCACGAGCTGCCTCGCTCGACCCTGTAGATTCAGGTCTACAGTCGGCGTCTTCAGGCGCACGAATCGCGCATACAAAGACTGGTCCAGGTGCCCATACTTCCTGAGCTGCAGGTCTGGGGCAAAAGGTGTCTGGTTTGCTTGTGCACGTACAGCGACCTACATCAGCAAGTCTTCAGCGAAGGACCCTATCTTTCAGCGACGTCAAAGCTCCCTGGGCTCTACAGGACTCTACAGGTCCCAGACCAGAAGTTCACAAAGATTTGATAACAGCAAACCCCATCCAGGTTGTGATAACGACCGCAACAAGGGTACAGGTTGGAGCCAATCGGCTGGAATGCCCGGTTCTTGACGACCGGAGGCAGCTGGTGGTGGTCCCCGATTAGCATCACCCTTTTCAACCTCTCCGCAAGTGCCGTGCTCATCTGCTGCCACGCAATTCTGCAGGAGATCCGGTGCAGAACTTCGAGAGTTCAGATTTGAGGAGCAACACCCCAACTAACCCAGTTGTACAAACACATCGCAACGCTCTCCGGGTCCTGCTGACACCGCTCTCCGCATTCTGCAGCAGCATCGGTATGAACGTCTCCACTTCCAGGATTTGAGCAGATTCTTCCATCAGCAGGTTGTCCTCGCAAGGCTTCTGAAAGGTTTCTTTGCGGGAATGAGCTGCCTAGTTTCGCATCAGATACAGCGCCTCAGCATGCAGTGTGATGTGCAAGCCGCAGTCAGCAGTTCATGCAAGTGAAACAGCCATCCCACGACAGGACTGCTTGCAATCGAGCATCGTACTTGAAGGACAAATTCACCAATGTTGACCTCTTGCGAAAAGGCGAGCATCTTTCGCGAAGGGGTACAGTACGGCAGTTTCAGGAAACTCCCAGCCGTCTCATTCGCTACTTTATCGGATGTCTTGCTGCGCAAACGTCCATGATCATGAGCTAACTCAATGCGCTGCAATGCAACATGCCCGCTCGGACTCGGAATGCAGAGCAGCCAGTAGCTGTGCCTTGTAAGAGCAGCGTGGGTGCAAGTCATCGCAATGATTCGAGCGTGCGTTGTGATCAGGTAGTCACCACGATCATGGCCTCACAACTACTGAAAGAAGCGGCCACTTGCACAAAGCAGGCAGACAAGGAATTCTTGCTGCAGGGGAGCCATTCCGCAAAAGCTCGAATGCACGGCATTCCTCAATCTCCCTGAACATGTTCTCAAAGTACCTCGGCATCCGACCCGATTCTAGTAGCTGTTCTCTCAACAATCTCAAAGGACAGTGTGTCAGCTGGGTTGGCACTTAGACTTGGTCGTCTTGAGTCACTTAGCCACTAGGTCAGCACTTGATACGTTCAGCTTCGACTCTCAAATGCCCGAATTTGGGATCTGCCCCCGCCCACTAACAGTTGTCACAATTTGAAGCACAACGAAAAGCACAAGAAAATCTAGTGGGTTCACCGGTTTTCCAAATATGAAAAATGGACAGCCAGGAGAGCTGAGTGTGAAACCTAAATCTTTGACAAAACAAGCCCCGAAACCATGCTTCCCCTCCCAGCAAAATCGAAATCTGCCGAACGCAAGGCCCAGAACAATTTTCGTTTCCAATTAGTCACTGGGCTGCAACCCTCAACCGAAACATTTCGTTCCATTCCCTCTACGCGCAGCCAGGGATGGCGGGGGGGCCTGGGTGGATGGATCGGACGTGGACCCAGGGGATGGGGCGATTCTGGGTGGTGAGGGCGGGAGGGAGAACGACTGATGCAGCTCCTAAGACCTGGCAGGGCCGTCCAGGGCCTCCCAGGGCCTCCCCAGGCCTGGCACC